CAACTACGCCGTTTCCTCGCATCGGATTTGGGTGTAGGAATCGGAGCCCCCAAAATTATTTCGGTCTCCCTTTTGCTTCCCTTCATGCCAAGCCCAAGACGGGCACCGAGTCTCAAAATCCAGACCCATGTTTGGGAAAGGGAACCCGAAATCTATTTGGGGCTTGATCAGAATGCCCTATAAAGCATTGTACGACCATCAGGGAAAAACAAAAAAACAGATGACTTGCATCACCGATCACCAAATTTTGAGGAAGGTTACCCCTGGTCATTTGGGGGCCCTAACTCCGGAAGTTTTGATCAACCCCGGAAATCCCCCGGTTCCGTGTCCCATGTTCTTTGGCTCGAGGAAATACGCTCAAGGGCCTGAGCGGTGTGATGGGCAAGCCGAAGAAGAACGAGCTGTGAGATGCTGTGAGGCTGGAAGTCCACGTTTGGTCGATTTTGAGGATGGCCTTTTTGTTTTTGGTGGCTTTCAAGGGAAGCCAGTGAAAGAAGAAAAACAAAACGCTTCTCCATGTTTGTCTTCTTCTTCATCTTTTTTTTTGGGGGGGGTCCCAAAGAAAAGACACACCCACAGGAATGTGCAGAAATGGGTGTGATATTTAATAGGAGTGGAACCTAAATAGCTTTGATTGAAATTCCTTTAATCGCTCCGAAGGTGGCTGGCTCTTGAGCTACTTTTTGGGGGTGACTTCAAGGGACCCCTCTGAAATTCCCCGGAAAGCTCCTGGCCCCCCAGGCCTCGCCTACCACTCCCTTTCGATTGAAAAAAACACCATTTGAGACTCACGCGCATCAACATAGCCCCCCCCCCAAATTCTGGTCTTCCATTTGCCTCTCCTAGCTCGCGACCTGAAGCAGGTGTATCCCCAAAGCAAGCACACATTCGGAGGCTATGAATCGGGAAGCTTCTCATGGGGTTTGCATTCCAGCAAAGACGCAGAAAGCCGGGAACAGGCCAGAGGCGTGGAAGGAAGATCAGATTTTCGTTTTTTCTTTTGAAGCCTTGGTTGTGGAGGCTAAAATGGGAAGCAGCCCAACCGCCCGTTTTATCAGCCTCCCTCTTAGTTTGGAGCCCCTTGGTTTGGAGGTGAGACATTGAGAAACCCCTGTTTACCCTATACGAGACCCAGGAAATATCCGCCAAACCCCAATCCGATAAATGCGAGCGCGTCGCTTGCTTGACTTCAGCGGACTGAACTGACTGCTTTCCTTATGCCCGGAACCAGGTTTCAGGTGAGTGTTTGCACAAAGATGAAGCAGGTAGCTTGTTAATAGGTCGAGGTTCTGTCATATTTAATGCACATGACATGCCAGCCATGTAATCAGGACTGGGTCGAACAGGAACTGTTCTTCGATCCTAGTGAAGGAAGGTAGTCCTTGTGGCTATGGCGAGTCTCTGGGGTAAACCGAGATGTAGATCCTTTTGCTTGGTGATCCAATTCTTATTTAGTCCTTCGTAAGACTCATTTGTTCCTTCCAAGATCTGGGTGGGTCTGGCTGTCCTGACACGGAACGCTGTAGGGAGCAGCTTGGATTGTTTGGTTTCCCAAGCTCAACCTCACATCTCGAATCCTGGGTGTGTCAAAATAGGGGAATGGTCGTCCTTTTGGTTGTCCATGAAACCAACCCCAAAAAGGTTAATTACCCTCCAAACACACACACAAACCATGTTGGAGGGAAACTGGGCTTTGCTTTGCCCTCCCAACGATTGGTTTGTCGTGGACATGCAGAACAAGGTAAAATTGTGCAGCAAGTTTCAGGCTTCAGGAATTCAGCAAGGGCATGTTCTTCTCACTGGGCATGTTCTTCTCACTGGGCCACTATGACTTGATACGGATGGCTGGCCAAATTTGAGGGAGTCAGCCTCGCACGCGTGCAGGCTCTTGAGGCCCTGCCACCTGAGCTGCACGTGGTTTGCTTCATCCCTGGGTGCTGTGCCCAGGGACATATGTGTGCCATGGTCAAAAGGCGCGGTAGGTCAGGCATGAAATTAGGCGCCAAGCGGTTTCGATGCTCAGAAAGGACATGGCCATGAGGCATAACCTATGGCTTCATTTTGGGGTGGATGAGCATCCATTTGCCACCTATTTTTATGTTTTGACCCACAATCACATGAGGTTCTCCTGAGGGATCCATGTCATTCACCTCCCTTCGTTTTGACCATGGCACAATTCAAGTTGCTCAATCCGGGCGGTTCGTTAGAAGACACGGACCAACACCGGCACCTCGAAGTGTTCATGGATGACTCCCATGGGACATGGGCTCAAATTGGCCTTTGAGTTAGACATTTTAGTAGCGCCTTCACATGCATCCCCACCCAAGAAGTTGCTCCAACTGAGTACATGCGTGAGTGTCTCTCACCTGACTGGATGCCTTGTGGGCCGGACGTAGCTCGGGTTTCATAACATCCGAGGTTAGGTTGCACCTGAGCGCTGGTCCAACAACGGCTTGGATCAGTGGTCAACCCGTTTCGCAAAAAAGAAGCGCGCTTTCTCGGCTGACTGTCCACATCCACATCCACCTAACCTGACGAAACCGTGGAAATTTTCGGGGTCCCCCCAAAAAAGCTCTGGAAACCCCTATTTGGTGGTTTGGATTGGGGATTTGAACCCCCGGTTCTTGTAGAGGGTAACCGCCCCACCTCCAGTTGCGTTGCTCAGTGGTGCCTTTTTTTCTCAACTTGTTTTTGGAAGGGTTCCCATTTAAAGTACCCAAAAAACATCCGGTGCCGATGCTTTTTTCACATGGAAATCCACTGGGCGTCGTTACCAATGGGTGATTTTCGGATGTCCAGAGGGCCAGTGGCCAAAAACGGCCCCACGAGCTCAGACGTGGCTCGCTCGTCGTCCATCTTTCTTTTTCTTTTCTTTTTTCCCGGCGGGTACCCACGTACAGCGGGTACCTCGGAAGCTCAAGTTTGGAAACAAACCCAGTGGGTGGGGTCTCCGTTTCTAAGACTTTTTGTTTTTCTCGGAGTGACAGCTAGGTCCCTCAGCTATAATAGACTACAGAAAAATCGAAACGCTACCCCCATGATTTTTTTTAAAGGAGAGACGGGATGGAGTGACCTGTTTGGCATTCAAAGCCGGTGGTTTGAGCTGGGAGGTATCCGGAAGTGCAAACCGGAGTTGTAAAGGGGCGAACATCTTCCATTTGCTGATATGAATCTGTGTTATTCTTTCCCTGTTGGTTTTAAAGGAGATGTTTCTTTTTCCAGAGGGCTTAAGCAAATCTAGGCTTACATCTTTGCCCTTCACTGAAAATTGATGGTCGAACAAACACACATTGCCTTTAGGAGTGAACATTGACGATGGACAGATTTGGACGTTTAGGTGAATGCCCGCAGAAGGGTTTCCATCACAGCTCCGCAACACCGGCAACCGCCCAATAGCACGGCTGGCCATGAATTTAAAACACATCTGCCTCAAAAGCGGTTGGTGGATATGAATTCCCACCTAAATGCTTTCCTGGACTTCTTTTTTGTATGACCATTTTAGTTGCAACAACAAGTTCCTTGACTGTTTCTGGCCAACCCACTCAGGAAGTGAGAATGATGTCCACCATTTCGGGTCTGTTGAAATAAGCGACAAGGGCAATGCTTTTTTCGGCGCTGGGACTTGTCCATTGACCGCTTCATTCATGCTCTTCTTCTTGGGATGTCTATTTCCCTTTTTAGTCGTTATAATTGTACCTCAGATATTAAAGGGTTTGTGGTCATAATGTAAATTCCAAGACTAATAGTAATAAAAGCATTTCTGAGGATTATTACACACACATAATGTTGAATCCAGAGGCAAGCCCTGACACATCCTTCTATCCCTGTAACCTCAAATAAAGTGGATCTACAATATCAAAAAGACAAGATGCAGAAATAAAAGAAAAAGAACAGAGATAAAGAGATAGATGGTAGGGATAAGATAAGACTCACCTATAGACACAGCATATGATTGAGGATTTTTCCGGTAGAAATCTCTTGATTATTCCTCTCTTGTCCATTCCTTTCTATTTCTTGGAAATCGTATCTCTTGGGCAACAGGAAAGAGATGTAAATAGAAAAGCAGTCTAAAAGCATTTAATTGTAATCCAAAAGTGCTTTCCTACATGCTATTACACCAAAGAATCTCCAAATGTAACCGCCAATGGCAAAGACTCAGGATCTACAATAATAATATTGGATCTCATGGAAACTTATGAATCATGAAATCTTAGATAAAAGACGTGACCAAGTGACAGAGTGGAGCCAGGTCAAGGATTTTACAGTCTTTCATTCTCTTTTTTCCCTTTCCTATCTGTTTCCAGCTGTTAACCAATAGATAGAAGTGGAACAGCTTAGAGGAAACAGTGGATAGGGAAAGGCGAGGCAAGCCTCATCATGTCCTTTGCCCTGCCATGCCTAATCCTGCGGCTTGCCACAGGTAATTGAGAGTCTTTATGTGTCGCGTCTCTCAAAATCCCTTAATTTGCGACCAAAGACTCTCACCCCATCTCTTCCCATTCCTTTCTTGGTCTTTGTCAGCTGAATCCTGCCAGCGACCGAAAGGAGAAGGTAGAAGGGATAGGAAGGAGATGGCTTACCCAGTCCCAATTAAAGGATTTGTATGTGAGGACTGGGGATGCATTGTGTGTCCTAATCCCTTTCCTGGCGGTTTAATGTGAGCCAGGAGTGCACCTTGAGCCTTGCGTACCAAACGTTTGGGGCCCCGGTTGGGCCCGTAGCAACTGGCTGTGCGTCTAAGTAGGGGAGACTTTATACTTGTTGGAAAGACCATTAGTGGCACTCACAAGTTTGGATTGAGTTTTTGTTTGGCCCATCCGATCCACTCAGAAATCAAGCTGATCTCTTGGTGCTCCCAGCCGTCCCCTTAGCCTGTTAGCCTTTTAGTGTTTATTGTTTCCATTTAACCCGCTAGAAGTTTAAAACTTTTAGCGGGGGATCTGAAATCAGGCAGCCCAGTTCTGAAGGTGTTTTCTCGGTTTCCGAAATCTGAGCGGGAGGACTTGGTGGCGCTCTACGAGAAGCAGGTGCAGGTCTTGAGGCAACAGAGAGCGAGCGAGCGAGTGCGATTTTTGTTTTTATTTTGCACGGAACGAGACGTTTTTTGGGCGCCTGTTTCGCCGGTTCGCCCCTCAGGAGAGCCTTAGTTCTAGGGGTACCTCCCCAAAATCCTTTCCGATCCGAATCTTTCTTGAAAACCTCCAGAAACCTGAGAACACGAACATTCCGGTTTTCAAGAAGAACGACGATGAAACCCCGTTTCTTGCAGAGGCTGGCAAACCATCCCTTACCCACGGGGCTCCACCGGGCTTCAAGCCACTTGGAGGGAAGCTGATGCTGGGATTTGGATTTGACGGGGTCCCTGGCTGTGGAGGGATGGGAAGCCACCTTAACTTGGCTCGCCATCCGGTTCCTTGGGGTTGTCAGAGGTGTCTAGTTGGAAGGTGGTGGGGCTTAGTGTTTACTGTTGCTGTTGTGGTCGCGTTTCGTGTTCTCAATTTTGTCCGGGTTCTATTTAACTTGGCGGTTCCTAGCTATCCGGTTGCTTAGGTCTGTAGGTCTTTACCTGGTTTAGTCCTTGGGTTTCCGTATTCATCCCACAAGCTACACACTTTTAGCAGGGGGTCAGAAAACGCACTTTTAGCCCGGTTTCTGGAGTCTCTTGGGCGGGAACCCTTGCAAGCGGTTTTTGAGCGACCCATGTGGATACCAAATCCGCTTTGGAGACAAACTTACTAGGTCCCCCAGTAGTACCCTTTCTCGCCCCTTTTTTGGTTGGGAGGGTTCCCCTGCTAAAGTAGCCTACAGGAAAAAGGGTACCCGCCTAGCTTATATGGCCATGAACTTTGAGAATCGGGACCACTTGTGGTTGGTGGTCGGTGGACATGAACCCCCCCACCTAAATGGGATGTCCACCATTTCGGTCCCTAGTTGAACAAATCAATTGTTTACCCGTAGAGTTTTAGACTTTCAGAGTTGGACATATGCCGCAAGTCAGAAAGTTTTACCCAGGGATCAATGGGCCACAAAGCTACTGGGCTGTTGAACATCGTTCCTGCACTTGCTGGTTCTCCGGTGAGTGTGGTTTCCTTGGGCATCACTAGCTTCATTCCCCAAACTCCTCAAACGATTCCCTGAGAACCAACAAGATCATCCGCCAGGTGTTTTCCCATGACATCTGACCCAAAACACGGATAAGCGGATGATGTGAGGATCCATGGTCGCTCGAAGATCGGAGGTTTGAGCGCAGTTTCTCAGACTACAGCTTGTTCTTTTCGGATCCCTCTCTGTAATCGGCCCTTCTTTGGTGGCAGTTTGGACTGGTTTGGACTGATTTCGGGTTCACAGGATGGACATCTACTGGACAAGTGTTCAAACATTTTGTCGAGATTGAACCACAAACGGGGGGGGGAACACGTTCCTGAAACAACGGAACCATGTGTCATTTGAAGGCACCCCTGTTTTGATGTTAAAGGTAAACCAAAAACAAAAAGCCAAAATCACGCTGCTGGTTTGTTTGACTCAGTTGTTCAGTGGCTCCAATTATTTTTCCCTTTTTTTTGTGGCTGCCAAACAAAAAAGGGTTCCAATTCATTTTTTTTCCAGGGTCACTGAACAACTGAGTTGAGGCCTACCCTTGGGATGTTTTGAGGCCATTTGGGTGTGTCTTGGCCAGGCGGCTGAGCGAGATCTGCGCGGATCCAGGCCGGGAGTCTACAAAAGTGTCGGGGTGGGGGGGTGGGTGTGGGGTGGGGGGGGTGGGTGTGGGGGCGTGGGGTCCAGGCCTGGATGTGGGTTTGTCCTTCTTTTGGGGCCGAAAATGGTGGTGTTGGTGTCCCTTGAAAACCACAAACGCGGGCCCCCTCCCCTCCCTGCTCCTCCCCCCCCCAAAAAAAAGAAGAAGAGAAACAATGTGGTTGTGGTTTCCCTTTCAAAATCGTAAACGAGCATACTGATACCTGGACCTTCCAGGGGTCCCAAATTTTAGGCATTGGCCAAAAAACACGTGCCTTTTGCCTTTGGTATGAAAAAATGCTTTTAGGGCGAAAAAACGCTGGCGGTCATATTTGTTTGCGCCGCGGTCGGGAATGTTCGCCTGTTGGTCGGGAATTTTCGCCTGTTGTTCCATTCGTTCAGAGTCAGACAGCCCATGCCTGAGGCAGGTTTGCTAGCCTTTGAGTCAGACATTTTAGTTTAGAACTAGGTCTCTTAGTTTAGGAAGTGCACCGCCACCGAGTGCACGAGCCTGGGCGTTTTGCATTGGCCAAGACACAGCAGCGTTCAAGCCTGGAACCTTTTGAACGTGTGTTCCCTGCCAAAGGCATGTCACACGTGGGGCATGGACACTGAACAAGTGCGCCCTCATAGAGTTTGTCAAGCTGCAGGACCACTCTTCAACTCTCCATGAGCCTTGTGGACGTGGTTCGTCAAAGCAGGGATGTGGACCCCAAATTTGATTTCCCCTTCAGATTTCCTTCAAGCCAAACTGCAACGGGCCACTCAACAAACACACGGGCTATGACAGGAGCAGGTGCGTTCTGTCAGAAGCTTGAACGAATGCCGGCGTGTTTTTTCTTCCCGCGGCAAGCTCCACATTTCTGCAAGCAGCTCGTCAGAATGGCCATTGGTATGGTATTGTATGGTATGGTAACTGCGACCCTCATCTCAGATAATTCCTGCAAAGGGACTTCCACGCAAGCCCAACCGGCTCCCGACCCCCGAGCAGGTTTGATATTGAGAATTCCAACCATATCGAACGACGGGGCAAGCTCAATGGCAGTTGAGCCACAATCAAAACCCGGGTAGATGAAGGTTAGTAAGGGATACTCCCAACCGTAAACTGCTGCAGCCGCCTTCTTAATTCTTTACATGGTTCTAGGTAGGCCATTTTAATACCGGAATTTGAGCAAGTGACTCAGTTGCTTTTGCCGCAAGCTTCTTCGCCAACAGCTGAAAGCGTTTGGGGGGTTAGGCGATAGGGGGTGCTTTGGAGCAGCCTCAGGGAGGATTCCGGAAGGGTTCCGACTTTAGAAGGCCCTCGGTTTTCCTTTGAGTTTCTCAAGGGGTAGTTACCCTCAGAAAAGACACCCATTCTAGGTCCCCAGTAGTGCCCGTTTACCCTTTTTGGGGGAGGGTTCCCCGGCTAAAATAGACTACAGAAAAAACAGGAGGTACCCTTATTCTACCTTCTCTACTGGAGGACCTAGCATTTGTTTGAGCTGCATTTCATTTTTCGCTCAGGAGGCGATTGTGGACCACACACCACCAGGCAAGGGAAGCATTCGGTGAAGTCGAGTTAGGCAACTCCAAATAAGCCACAATCAAAACCCGGTCAGATGAAGGTTAGTAAGGGGCAGTCCCAGCCGGAAATAGTTGCGGCCGCCTTTTTAATTCTTTACATGGTTCTGGGTTTACCATTTTTGTACCAGGTGTTGATTGTGACTCAAGTGGGAGTCTTTCAAGGGGCTTATGTTCAAGTAAATGGGTGGTTTGGATTGTTGAACCCCTGTGTCTTGCAGGTAAACGGGAAACAGTCCCCAACCATCAAACCACCGTCACCAATTCAAACCACCAGGTAGAGGAAAGCTGATATGTTTTTCCACGTACTTTTTGGGCTGGAGCAGGTGTTTGTCTGAGAAAAAGGTCAACTGGAACTGAGAGGCGCATTTGATTCTCCTTCAACGGCCCCAAATCAGCCTTGTAACGCGCCAAACATCCTCAACATGCCCCCCTGAAAGCTTGACCAGACCGAGCCCCCCTGTCAAAGTGACAATTGTTGCGTCGGGACAACCAGAAGGGCAACAAGTTAAACACGTCAAGTCAAGTCTGGCAATGTGAAAGGGGGTTTAAAGGCAACCCCCGTCCCAACTACAGATAGGACAGTTTCCCTGTCACCTACCAGAAAAAACGGCGCCGACGTTGGTACACTACGGGGGTTCAGGGGTTGCGGAGTAGGCCTTCCAATTTGCCCTCTACAAAATCCAGGGGTTCACATCCCCAAACAATCCCTAAACCACCAACCACCAATCAAGGGTTTCCTGATCCTACGGATTCCAGGTTTTATGTCTTACGGCCCAGCCTGCTGGTTCCCGGAATCGATTCCTTTCAAAACAAAAGGGCCGCGTTTTTAAGCAAACGAATAGATTCCCAAATCAGTATCTCTAGATGGTGGCCTTCCTTTTGGTTTTTAAAGGTAAACCCACCAAAAAGATGGGGGGTCCCCTCCAAACACGCAACCCCCCCCCCTCCCCCCCACTACCCACCACCACCCACCCTAAACCCTAAACCCTAACCTCCCCTCAACAAAAGACAGACCCAAATCAGTGGTCTCCCTCCCCTCCCCCCCCTCCTCAACCCTAAGCCCAAAACCATAAACCCCCTCCCCCCCCCACCCCAACCCCCAGTTCGCGAAAAGTTCGCGACACCCTAAACCCCAACCCCCCCTCCCCCCCTGCCCCCCCCCCTTTCCCCCCTTCCCCCCCCTTTCCCCCCTTTCCCCCTTCCCCCATCCTCCCCCTTCCCCCCTCCCTCCCCCTAAACAACCCCCCCCACCCCCCGGAGGCCGGAGGAGCTGGTGGCTGTGGCCGCCGAAGGCCCCGAGCGCCTGCGCCGCGAGCTGCGGCTCTACCGCCGCCAGCTCGAGCAGGCGACGGCAGCGCTGGGCCGAAAAAAAAATGCGCCGGCTGAGGGTCGAAGCGCTTGGGTTCTGGGGATCTGAGCCGGCTTCTGAGGGTTAAAAAACGGGAACATTGGCAAAATCCAAACCACCAACCAGGGGTAGGGATTTGAGCCGGCTGAGGGTTAAAATACGGGAACATGGGCAAAATCCAAACCACCAACCAGACCACCAGCGGTGAATAGATCTTGGTTGCTGTTGGGTAACGGATCTTTAGACTTGAAGACTTTTTGGTTGAAATCAAGTTGGGTTTTCCACTAAACCCCCAAAGAGTTAAACATTTTGCAGGGGGGTCAACAGCAACCAAGGTAGGGTCGAGCGGTCGCCCCGTGCACCTCATGCCTCCTAGCCTCTCACCCCTTTTTGGTTGGGAGGGTTCCCCTACTAAAATAGACCACAGAAAAAAAGGGTACCAACTTATTCTAACCTATCTTCTGGAGGGCCTAGCTTCAAGTTTGCCGAAATGAATGTATATTTCATTTTCCCGGGTTGGTTTTGAAGGGAAGCGATTTCACTACCTGACATAACGTACACCTCCAACTGCTTCCAGTTTCCCCTTTGTTTGAAGTTTCTCGCTGTTTCCAAGTTTCCCCTTTTAATGGGGCAAGGGTCTGCTTGTTGCAACAACTTGTGCAACCAACTCCTGCCATTTGCGGAAATGAATACTTGTTTTCATTTTCCCTGGTTGGTTTTAAAGGGAGGCGATTTCACTACTGGACATCATTTCTGATTTTTTTTTGCTTTTTCCGAGGGGTGTAGGAGCAAACGGAAGAGTAGGCCTGTCTTTCTTGAGGCTACCCCTTTTTTGGAGGTTTGAGGGAAACAAAAAGGAAGCCGTTGCCATTTTGGGGAGTACCCCACAAGGGCTCCAAAATTTGTTTGGGCCTTTAAATGGAAATCACCCAATGGGACCCCTGAACCAACGGATCGGTACTCTTCATAGAGGTGTTCTCTCCAAAGTGATGAACCCACACAAAAAGCAGGGCTACTTAAAAGATCTCCATTTTGCAACCAGTTGAAACATGTGGCTTTTTCAACGCCAAAATAAAGGGAAACCACCATTTACAAGGCAATGTTCAGGTGTATAATGTAAGGATCCCTGAAAAGGGACACCCTCAATCAAAATCAAGGGGTGGAATACGGGGTTCAACCGGTAATCACATCTACCAGGGGCACTACTTTGCAGCCAAGTTCGGAAGTTGGTGAGCGAGGTTACACTCACTCCCTGAGTTCCTGGACTTCAAAACATTTTGGGAAGACAATTTTAGTGGTAAACAAGAAGTTTGGATACTTTTTTTGGCCCATCAACTCGATCGGAAGTGAATATAATCCACGTATTAGTCTTCCGTTTAGTGGGGTGAACCCTGTTAGTGGGCTAGACCCCAAGCTCGCCACTTGCTAACTTGTCTAAGGGTTGATTCCCTGGGTTTCCGGAGGTTCTCTAGAAAGAAGGATCCCTGGAAAGAATGGGGAAGGTAGCACTAGAACTTGGCGAATCGAAGATCCAAGTACCCTCCACAGCAAAATGGGCGGCTCGGCTGTTTGAGGTTGGACCCCAAAATGGGCGGCTCGGGTGTTCCTTTCGGTTTTTACGCTTAGGGACACAACGAAAGGGGCACCCTCAAGAAAGACACACTCGAAAGGCAAACCAGCACCCCCTCCCCCCACCACTGCTGTTTGCTCGCTTAGGGGAGTTTCGACATGGGCAAACCCTGACAATTCTTGGAGAGGGGCTGGTCCAAATTTGCCCACCTTTGTTAGGTGACATACTTGAATTGAAAGCCTGGGTTTTCCATGGTTTTGTTTGCCTCCTGTTTGGTCAGGAGTTGACATCATACGCTATCATGCACTCGAACAAGTGGGTATTGGGTGTAGGGACATGAAATTCAACCACCATGAAAACCTTGGGGGCACCACCGTTCAGGAGTTTGATTTATCTTTCTTGTTTTTTTTTTTGTGTGTGTGTGTGTGCGTGTGCGGAAGCTGCACCCTTGAAAACTGGGGTTGATCAAAACAAAGACGTGACCCCATGTTAGGGTCAAACCACAGCTGAGAGCTGCCAAATTATGTTTTATACTTTGGGGTAGACTAAACATGGCGCAGAATCGGACAATATTATTTTTGTGTACTCCAGATATGGGCCAAGAAAATGGGTATGCTGAATGAGTGTGTCATTTTTGAGGATGCTTTTTTGGTATTTGTCGAAGAACCCAATAGAGACCGAAGGCCATGCATGTCTCGGTCCCAAACAATTTGATCGGGAATCGCTTGACTCACTTGTCCAACGCGAATCAACCTTTTTTGTGGTTTTTAGGCGTCAAAAGCTGATCACCTTTCATTCCCTCAGGGGCAACTGAGGTCAGGACCCACAAAAATGGCGTTGGTTTGCCTTTGGGCTTCCTTCTAAGCCACCCCAAGAAAGGTTCCCTCAAAAGGACACCAACCCAAATGGACCAGAGGAACCTGGAAATCGATCTGACCAACCCAAGCTTCCCAGCTCTCGAGCGAGGGAATGACATGCCTCGTGGTTGCCATTCAGCGTTCTTTTCATTCCCAAGAGCCCTTTGTTTTGAGACAAGCACATTTTGTGTTTCGAGGTCTTTGTGCCCAGGTCCAAAATCCAAAGTTTGGGCAGGCGAGGTTGACCCCAAACTCCCACAAAACGAGGCGAAATGGATAGAAGATGAGAATATGCATAGGTGTCCCTCGAGCATTGGGGGCTTGCCGGGTGTCCGGTGTGTCCGTGACTTCCATTGCTTCATATGCTTTAAGTTGTCCCCTGGGTGGAAAGGGAAGCTTTCACGATGGGTTTCGTCGGGCCCCAACCTTGAGACAGACCCATAGATATGTATATATACATAATATAATATATATATATATATATACATACCATGCATATGTATTCATGTATACAGATATGTATATATCTATATAAATCATATTTACAGTCTCTACATACGTATGTATGCATATATATATATATATGTATTGATGTATGTATATGTACATACAATGTGTACAAGAGACGTATATGTATGTACATATTGTATTCAGAGCACTTAAGCAAACGGAGGGTACAGAACCTTTCTTCCTTGGCCGAAGGTCCATGTCCTGGAGAGATTGGACATGACGGCTTTGGAGCTGCCTGCGGAGCGCTTGCAGCGCCCTGGCTCGTTTGCTCGTCGTCTCCGAATCCGTTTCGCCAGGGCGGTTGGTCGTCTCCGAATTCCCTTTTTGGGGTCGGGAACAGGGACCCCAGCTAGGTGCCCTTTCTCACCCCTTTGTTGGGGGGAGGGCTCCCTACTAAAATGGACTACCTGCAGGACGCATTGATACACAAATCTTTGCTCGAGCTGTCATGGCAAATAAGTACGCGAGAAATGGAAGAATCCAAATTGCGCCCGAGTAGCGGGAAATTGCGCTCGAGTTGCGGGTTTGTTTTCTCTCGAGCACTTCACCAAGCATCTAGGCAACCTCAAAAAGTGCTCGAATTGGATTTGAGCAGCAAAATACGCTCGAATGCCAAAAACTGTCTGGAGCACTTTTTTGTGTATCAAAGGGTCCTCCAGGTAGAGAAAAAAGGGTACCCTTATTCTAACCTCTCTACTGGAGGACCTAGAAGAATTCAAGAGGATGACCATTTTTTGGCCTCCCGTTTCTGGAAGGATGTCTCCTGTTGGAGTCAGACTTACGTTCCATGTCATTTTTTGGGAAAACGGCGCCGGATCCCCTTTCACTTGGGTTGCATAACTCCCCTTTTCAGAAGGACGTTTCTTCAAGTGGATGCCCGCAAGATTCCTGCCCTGGCAAGGCGTGGTTCCTTTTGCCCCTTGCCCTCTAGGGTTTCCTGAGGGCTAAAATGGCCCGTAATTGTTTGTTTACCGATCTTTGAACGTGACAAAGTGACCAGCAGCAAAACATGGGAATACATCTCCTTTTGTACCCGTGCATACCTAGTACACCTCCCCCCCCTTTTGAAAAGGAGTTTATTGGGGCGCGCGGACCCCCCGCATTTCTATGTGCAAATAATGGTCCCTTTCTTGCTTGACCGTGGATTTGCTGAATTGTCATCAACCACTAGGCCATTCATCGGGCCAAGTATTGACTGTGATCTGAATTGTATATGATGTCTGGGGCCTAGGGGTAACTTCCACTTGCCAAGGGTCCGAGAGGTATCTTGGGCCGTTGTTTTGTAGTTGTTTGTCATTCATGGAAAGTCAGATGGTTTGAATTGGGGGATGGTGCGAACCCGGTTTCATTCCTTAGATTTCAGGGTACAGAAGGACGCATGTTTAATCGAGGGGTGTGTCAGTGGATGTCAAAGTTGGTCAAGCTTTGCCGGACCTTAGGATAAAGAGTGGTGTTTGTTGTTGTCCTCTGGTTGTTAGAGGAATCTATCACAGTATTTTCTCATTATTTCCAGGGACGTACTCGCAAATGGAAGTCGCGGTCTCCAAGAGTCCTTCATCCGGGTCAACATGTGTCAACAGTAGGAGGTCCTTTTGTTTTGTCGTGTGGATTTTAGACATGAGTGTCTCGTGTGTCCAACATATGAGTGCGCGTCTCCACTGCAGAAGGCAGACGCTGCCTTTGCCAGGGCGCAAATCAACTGGACATTTGCTTGCAGGGAACTTCTTCTAAGTTTTGGACTTAAGAAGGAAGGTGTTCCACATTGCCAGAAGATCCAAGTTGGTGGCACCCCTAAAATCGGGGACACTATTGCCCTTATTGGTGTGTGCCATAAGTTCCATGTTGCCCTTGGTATGTGACACCCCTCAAATCGGTGGCTTCCTCTACCGCAAGCCCTCGGCCCATGGTGTTTCGGGCCGAAACCGAGCTAAACGGGTCCCAAGCAACCACACGTGAAACGTCAACCGGGGGACGCCTCCCAAAAAGGAAATAAGCTCAGGTGATATCCCCAACAGCGGTGCTCTCTTTAGTGCTCGCACCACCCCGCAGCCCTCGCACAACCTCGTGGAACCCTGGTGGAACCCTCGTGGAAGCTTACCTCAAGGCCGACCCGGACCACCCCGGAGCCTATCTGGGCTGAGACCCCAAACCTTTCAGCTGTTGGGGAAAAACGAGATGGGAACCCCCAGTAGTGCCCTTTTATCCTTTTTTGGGGGGAGGGTTCCCCTGCTCAAATGGACTACAGAAAAAAGTTGGTACTCTTATTCTAACCTCTCTACTGGAGGACCTAGGGAAGCAACCCCGGGGTGCCGTCGAGAAACACACACCCTGTTTGTCGGACTCCAAACATCATGCCACTTGCAGGGTAATTGGAGGGTAAGGGACAATCCCAGACACAAACGAGTGCGGATCTCCGCCTTGTCGGCTCTTTACCACGGTTCTAGATTTCATTGTGGCTCACCTTCAAGAATCAGCCCGCGCAAAGCGAAGCGACCTGAAAACAAAACCTTTTGGCTTTTCCCGGTCCACCAAAATGTGATCACCAGGGTCGGGGCAACTGAGAACTCCGCCCAGATCGTTGAGCGCCCGAAACGTCGGTTCCATTTTCTGGTTTGGGGGTTGTAGCAAGGCTTATGTAAAACTTAGCCTGCGGTTCAATCCACCATGAAAGCAATGGTTGGCTTCATAAAACCACCACTGGTTGCCTAAGGATTGTCCTCATCCAAATTGGGTCCCAAGGCTTGTCTTCTAATGGGGGTTGAACGGAACCCCGCCATCTTACCAAAAGTCAGCTCGGGTTTTTCATTGGGGCTTGGGGGGAGGGAGGGGAGGGGGAGGGAGGGGAGGGGGAGGGAGCCCCAAAAAACCCTTATTCAGGTCTTATTTAGGGCTTATTTGGGCACCCTCCCCCCCTCCTCCCTCCCCCCCACCATAAGTTTTGGGTCCCGAGGCTTTTCTTTTTGGTGGGGGTGGGGATAAGCCATCTTACCAATGTCAGCTCGGGTTTCGGGTTTTGGGTGCTCAGTGTTTTCGTTTCGGGTTTCCCTTGCAGGGCGCTTATTGCCTTGGGCTTCAAGCTGGGCCTTGCGGAGGAGAGCTCGTCCGATCGTCATCGCATGCGCGCGTGAAGCATGGAGGGCGTCCAGCGAACGCTCTGCTTACCTCTTAAAAACACAACTTTTCAACTTTTTGGGTAACATGGGCTGTATGTCTGGAAAAGATTAACTTCCCCAGGGCTTGGAGTTTTAAGGGGTAAGTCTGTTGCCCAGTGGATTCCGCCCCTTTTTTGGGGGAAGGGTTCCAAATCCTTTAAACTTTAAACTCAACCAGCCGAAAAAGGATGCTCTTTCTTTTCCCCATGGAAATCCACCGGGCATCTGAGAACGTATGGTGTCCTGTCTCGTGGTTGTGGTTGCAAGCATAGCCTTTTTTTTTTTTTGGGGGGGGGAATTTCTCGGGTGGTGGGGGAAGCGGCGTTTTGTGGAACAATGTTATCTGCGGTGGCCAGGTTATACGGAAATGATTTTAGGTTGCCATTAGCGAGTGGCTGGCAGGAGGAAAGACAAAGGTTCAAAGCCAGCTGTAGGGAAAAACCCAAGTGTTGAGAGAAATCGTGGGAGCAGAGTATGGGATGGGTCCAGTTGTAGGGTGGGAAATCTGGGCGTACCAAATGGGACGACCATTGCAGTCGATCCGATGCAAGATGGTTTCCACAAAACTCTCAAGGGCTTGGGAGAAACAGCCACAACATAGGCACCATATTATGAAAATATCATATATCAACAAAGTATAAACACACACACACACACACACACACACACACACACACACACACACACACACACACACACACACACACACACACACACACACACACACACACACACACACACACACACACACACACACACACACACACACACACACACACACACACACACACACACACACACACACACACACACACACACACACACACACACACACACGAGACTAGTGGTTTGGGAGGTCTTCCGGCAAACTTCAAACTTTAAACATGACGCATTCGTGAAAGAGGGTGACGTGAGGTCACGCATTTGTGCGTGAAAGTGGAGTGTTGGTATGAAACATGTATCGTTGCTACCTAGGGTGTTGAGATAATTGCTAGTGCAGGTGGCAAAGCTATTTTGCCAAAGCGAGACATGAAGCCTATCTTCTTGAAGCCTCCCGGTGTTTCGTTTCCAGGAGCTCAGGGGCAAGCTGCCCCAGCCAGGACTGACTCACTTGACGCGAAAAAGCGGCCACCTTTTTGTCGGGATATAGATGCCAATTCGGTGGTATGTGTTGACCGGCGTTTCAAATCAGAAACTTTGGTGCATTTTGCTTGGATGTTAGGACTTGAACTTTTTGCCAACTAATGGGTTTTCCATCAAACCACTAAAAGTTGAACTTTTAGGGGAGCAGAAAGCAACCGAGGAAAGGAATGCGCACTAGATAGCACTCGATCGCTCATTCTGAATCCTTATCGTAACCCATCCTTTCAGTTTGCTCTGAGGGAAGCCGAGCCAGTGCTTCAATTCCTCCAAAGGCCGAAAGGAAGTGAGCAAAACATACTATTCTTATATTATTACCCCCTCTCCCGCTAACATGGCACATGACAGGAGGCACCTACAAAAGGAGATTGATCTTCCAGGTGCTCTCCAACAGGTTTTATGTTAGTGGGGGGAGGGTAGTAGTTTTATTCTTATTATTGCTGGTATGATTTTTGAGACCCTGTTGCACATGACTGGCTCCCTTGGTTCCCTTGGCAGGACCCGTGGATGTGCCAGGCGGAGAGGGATGGGATCCAGTTCCAGAACGGGCTTCTTCCATTTGCTGAAATGAATATCCTTTTATATATTGCCCTGTTGGTTTCAAAGGGAATCGATTTCACGATTGGACATATTTTTTCCAGGGAGCTTAAGCAAATGGAAGCGAATGCACGCAAAGCCATGGCCGGAACGCCATGCCGGCCATGGCTGCGGACCCCAAGATGGGTGATATTCCTACTAGGCTTTTCCGAGTCAGCCCCAAAAGGGTAGCTTCCCTTTGCTGAAATGAGTATCCTTTTTTATATTGCCCTGCTGGTTTCAATGGGAATCAATCTCACCATTGGACATATTTTTTCCAGGGTGCTGAAAAGCAAATGGACGTTTTGAGCCGATGGTCGGTTGGTTTCATGGCCGGGTGCCCGTTTAAAAAAAGGGAAAAAAACGAAAACCGCCCCAGACTCCCCCGAGTTTTCCGTGTTTCGGACTTCGGCGGACCAGAATAAGGCGTAAGCCGAATGCCTGGAGTTTGTTCGAGGCCAACCTACCATGGGTTTGTTTCTCAGTGGTTCAAAGCGAAAGCCGACCGGATCTGACCCTGTTGGTTTTCTCCCACTTTGGGTTCCCATTTTTGGTGGCCCCGAAAGGTGATCACCTTTGAGTTCCAGGTCCTTTGGGCAACTGAGTTGTCGCTTTTGGGGAAGCCAACCAAAAACCACTTCAGATGGATTTCCTGCGACCAAGAGACTGGGAAAAGACGGCAAGGATCAGAAGTTCAACAACCAACCTGTGGGAATGTTCGGATAAATCCGGATAGGAACTCAGAGGTTCCGCTAAGGAAATGGTCTAGTTCCTCTGACTAACCGCTTGCTCCCTGCCCTCCGTTTAGGACTTTAGTCACTTTTTGGGTTTGGGCCATGAAAGTGGTAAACCAAAAACAACTCACCAACAAAATGACTTTTTGGGGGGCAACCCACTCACTTCTGCAGGTGACTTGTTGCCTTTTTATTTCGGCCAAGGCACTCAGGAAGTGAGTGATTGAGGTTCACGTGACCTTCAAGAGTACCCTACAAGTTGAGCCAAGATCAAGCCACGGGTGGGTGACAGTCCCAACCGCAAATGGGTTGCGGATCTGGGTAAACCACCTGTACTGGGAAGGTTTGCCTGTGACGCTGAGGTTTTTGATATGCCTCCTGACGATTGTTTTCGGCGATTTGATGGCGGCGTTCAAGAGCTTGAATCACAGACTGCCCATGTGTTTTTTCAATTTCACCGCCATCCCGTTTCTATCTTCCCGAGCCCCCCCTTCTTAGAGAAAAACCACGGAGTTTGGGAGACTACTGCTTTTTGAGCAGTCTGCCAGAAGAAGAAACAAAAACGGAGAACTGATCCTTCGGGATTTCAAGCTCCACATGGATCATCAAATGCAGTGAATCGGGATTCTCAACTTCGGGATCCTCAAAGGGCCCCTTAAATATGGAATTGGGGGAGGGGGGATTTCGACCCCTGGAGATTTCCATTTGTGGTGAGCCAATTTCTCTTTTCTGGGGAACACTAGACAAATGGAATTGGGGGAACCCCCCACCCTGGTTGGGAGGATAGGGCTTTCTTGTGTTCGGCGGATCAGCCAAGCTTCAGACAGACCTTCAAAGGACTTCTGACTTCGGAAGCTTCTGACTTGAAAGCCCAAAGCAAGTCCACCGGATCTGCCGACGTTTACGGTGCCCCTTTTCTGATCGCCTGGTGGGTCTGGCCCCTTTTTTCTGGCGCCCCCCCCCCCAAAAAAAAAGGTGGGTTTCCCTTGGGGTCCCTTCAAAAAAAAGGCCTCACAAAGAGGGGCGCGCCCATTTTTGCGTTTTGGGCCCTGGGTTTTTGACAGCCGGCCCCATGGCAAGACCCCCGGCGTGCCCTCTGGTCAGATGGAGAGCCGCGGCCGGGCGCTGAACGCCTGGGATCGCACCGTCGCAAAGGTTGGCGGAGCCAGCTCGGAAGGTGGTCGTCGATAGAAGGAACTCCATCTCACTTCCTGAGTTCATGAACTTTAAACTTTTTGGGAAGACCATTTTAGTGGTAAACAAAAAGTTTGGACTTTTTTGGGCCATCCACTCAGCCAGTGAGCCATAGTCGATACTTATTCCATTGTTCCGGTCCAACAAGTGACACTTGCAAGGTGATCCTATTCGAAAGCTGCTTCTTTCATTCGAATTCTACCATTCGAATTGTCTGGCGACAAGCGTATTGAAGAATTCTACCCTTCGAATGGAACACCTTGCAAGTGGCACTAAGGTCAATCAAACCAAAATTAGTTTTAAACAAATGTAGGGAGATTCCCCGTTTGAAGCAGTTCTTTGGGTTGCGGTTTTTGAAGCAGCTTTCGAATGGGATCACCTTGCAAGTGCCACTTGTTGCACCGGAAAAATGGAACAAGCATCGATTATGAAGTTCCTTGTCGCCAGATCTTGTTCCATGCGGCCATTTGCGATCACACAGGTCCGCTGTTTCAGCACGGAGAAACTGATGAAAATAAAAGCTGAGGAAAGAAACCAAGCAGAAAAGCAAACACCAGATCAGCTTGGGAGTCTTCCCTTCCAGGGTGTTGTTCCTGTTTTGAGGAGCCAAAACCGCCTGGTTTTGGCTGAGTTTGAAAAAAACGGAGAAGGACACCCTGGGCATTTTTTGCGGGGTCCAAAATACAAACAAACACCATTTAGCACCTCCAACACACATCTCACTTCCTGAGTTCAAGAACTTTTCGTGGAAGACAAGAAGTTTGGGTACTTTTTTGGGACCCTCCACTCGGGAAGTGAGATAAACGCCCAAAGCGACCGGCTCTGAGATTTGAGTTCCCCTTGGCCCATGTTTAGCAATGATGATGACAATCCCTAGGTCCCCCAGTAGTGCCCTTCTCTCCCCTTTTTTGGGGGAGGGTTCCCCTACAAAAATAGACTACGGAAAGAAAACAAAAAATCGGGTACCCTCAGTCTAACCTCTCTACTGGAGGACCTAGAATGGTGGTTGTATGAACCCCTTGTTTAACTGAACAGGGAAAGGTTTGAGCCATATGACCTGTGAGACAACATGGCATGCCACAGGCATGAGATGTGACGTTCTCGCCGGTCTGCTCGGTTTCTAGATTGTGTCGCTTTTGGCTAGACAGCTCAACTGTCAGCTTGCAAAGAGCGCAGCCAACTTCATTTTTCACAGACTCCAGCAGAAAAGCTTGTGATCTCACTTGCCACGAGCAGTGACGCGCAAGAGAGAAACAAACTGGCATCCAATCTACAGAAACAAGCGTCGGCCGACTTGGGATGTGCAGCAAGCGGGCATTCACATGGGAGTGTCTGAAAATAGGACCCCCCAAAATGAGTTTTCTTTCTGGTTTCCATTGAAAAAACACCTAAATGGGTGCTCTCAGCAAAACGACACCCCCGCGTTGCTTATGTGCAGTGTTCATAAACAAATCCGAAGCCAGCCTCAGTCCGACAGCGGCCAGCCCCGAACAACCAAGCACGCGGAAGTTCAGAAAACGAACCCCGGAAGCTGACCTATGGCTCGAAAAGAACCCGCCCTTAGCTGAAGCAAGCAAACAAGTAGACACCTCCCAAGTGGTTGGAGGACACCTAAATGATGTCCACAGGCTACCGAATTAAAGCTCATGCCCACATTGGTCTCACTCCCTGAGTTTCCGGACTTTCGTCACTTTTCGGGTTTGGACCCATTTTTAGTCGTAAGCTCGCAAAGTGTGGGTCCCTTCTTCTTTTTTTGCCCATGCAACTCCATGGGTTTGGCGAGTTCTCACTGCAGGTCACTGAGCACCCAGGACCCGGCACTCCCGTTTCACGAGATCTGCGGGGGGTTTTGTGTCATGAGGGACCCCCCCAAAACGGGGTTCACGGTTGGCCATGCTTCACAGGCCATGCTTGTGAGCCATTTTTCGCTGCCCGCGAAGGGAACACACATGACTTCACTTGTTCTTCCAAAGATGTTTTCTGACTTCCAGCGATTTGACGTTATACATTTTACGGGGGTGTTTTGTTTTGAGGGTACCTGTTTCATTTTTTTTTAAACGGGAAGCCAACTCGAACACCCACCGGTTTCGGGATGGATTTTGGCCAGGTCCCCCACTATTGCCCTTCTACCCTTTTTTGAGGGACTACTCAAATAGACTACACAAACAAGTTGGTACCCTTATTCAAACCTCTCTAGTAGAGGGCCGGATTTTGGGTTCCCCGGGATTTTGTCCCGTGGATCTTAGAAGCTCATGGTCTTTACATGACCTTGCGCCTGGTGGTGCCGTACCAGGGGCCCCGAAGTTGGGGACCATTTAGTGGTTGGATTCAGGTTCCACTTCTGGCGGGAACAGTCCCCCAGTGGGACGGGTGGCTATCTCCTGGGTTTACATTACCGGTCAACATTTAGCGTGCCTGCCAAATGGTAACACCCGTTCACAAAGGATCGACGAACCCATATCCAATTGTTGTTTATATAGAACCTTTCTTCATGTTCAGCCTTCAACGTTCTCAACAAAGTCACGACAAATACTATGGACAGAGGATCGAAGATCATATGAGGACCATCAGGTCCCTGCGACCTATGGTGAGCTTCCGTGATCAGGCACGAATGGCTACGGAGACGACTGCTGGTTGAAAGGAACCCCAAAGAACAAACACAACTGGGTATGGGTCAAAATTAGATCCCGGGAATTGGACCGCAGGTTTTCGCCATTTCCATGGGCTCCGTTGTGCGGTTACCGTGTTACCCTATGTTTGATCCACACCCAAATGAAAAGGCTGTGGCTTTGTTGACGCTACATTTTTGGTTACGAGTATTTAAAGGGAAAAATGATTTTTCTTTTGGGTCCGCCAGTTTGAGAAACACCCGAAAGGCAAGCCAAGTCGGGGGCAAAACTGACCCATTGAGCGTGATGGGAAGGAAGGGTGACGTATCATGTTTGTTGCGGGGCAAAACAGAAAAAAAAAAAAACAAAAAAAAAAAAAAACAACAAAAAAACAAGAATGCTCCCTTCACCAGCTGGTTTAGAGGAGTTCCCTGTACTTGTGGTGTTTGAATGTATCCATTGTATCCCGTAATATCTTGTTTTTCAGGAACAAACAACCTCTAAAACAAGCTGAAGCGGCAAGCTCGCTTGCGCTGGGTAAAGTGTGAAACTTCGAGTGAGCCAACAGATCGGAGGGTCTCGACCGTGTTATGTTTCCGTTTTGGTGACTAGACTTGCGACATGAACCCAAGACATCGGCTCAAGACTTTTGAGGAGTCAATTCGCAAAATTGAAATCACGCGATGTTGGATCCCTCCTTTGGGTGAGTCAATATTTAAGAAAGCATAAACCCCCCGCCCCCTTACCCCCCCTTTGAGACATGCTTCTTTAGGGGGGGGTTGAGGCTTCTTAAAATATGGCTGTGGGTTAAAATTCAGCCCGGGACGCCGGGACCAGGGTTTAGTCCTTGGTAACCCATTTACAAGGCTTGACCCATTTTGGGGTTACCCTATGTTCGACATCCACTGCCATGTGGATAGACTATGGGAAACCAATGTTTTTGTTGGTGAGCACAGGGGAATCATCATTCCAGGTGTCTTAGGTGGTGCAGGATTTCGTCCATCCACAGTATGAGTGTCCCCCCTTTCCCGGACTGCCACGCGCGAGGATGAGCTTCTGAGCGCCAGTTCCCCGGGCTGAGTGTCGGGACCTTCAGATGGGACCTTCAGTTGGTCCAAGACTCTTTTTGGGCTAGGTCCCCCAGTAGTGCCCTTCTCTCCCCCTTTTTGGGGGAGGGTTCCCCTACTAAAAATTGACTACAGAAAAAGGGTTTCTAACCCCCACTGTACTGGAAGACCTAGTGGGAGTTCTTAGCCGTTTTTGGGTGGGCTTAGGGAAACCGACAGGAGAACCGAATTCCATTTTGGGCGCCTTCAGTTGGGAGTTGTTACCCGTTTTGGGTGCGGCTTTGAAGGGACACTACATCGGAGAACCGAAGTCTGGTTTGGAGGTTCCAAGACAGAAAGACCCACATGGCTTTGGTTTTTATGCGTGGTCAAAAGACTTGCTTACTGGCTTGGCCGAAACGGTCATGGACCCCTTGTGAGGAGTTTAGACAAGCATGATGAGGTTTCCTGGTAAGGGAAAAATGACCACGAGCCATGTAAGGAGTTTGACCATGGCACAAATCGCGAACTGAATGTTGAGAGTTTGAACCTCCAAAGTGGTAGGTGGTTGCCTGAGTCCCCGAGTTCTGACGTCCACCAGTTTGGGTCCCCAAGTAAGGTTGCCCAAATGAGTCACCAGCAAACCCGGGTAAGTGAAGGATAGGTTGGATAGGCCTAGCCATAAAGGGTGCGGATATCGACGGAAATCCGCCCTCTTGATTCTTTATATTATGGGTTCGACTCTTTGGCGTCAGGTTGTAATTTGTCTCAGATGGGCTTCCGGACTGGGGTTTCCTTTCAACCCCGAGTGGACCCTTTCTCCCCCAGCGGAAGGACACACACTGTTCAGATGCCTTGGCCAATTGGTGTTAGGAACCTCTGTTGCCCAGTGGCGCCTCTTTTTTTTTTGGGGGGGGAAGGGTTCCGATTCCTTTAAGCTCAACCGACCAACCCAAAGATGCAACCTTTTTCCCATGGCCACCGGGCATCTGAGAAACACATGGCAACACTACAACTTAAACTTACCTCTTAAAAACACAACTTTTCAACTTTTTGGGTAACATGGGCTGTATGTCTGTAAAAGATTAACTTCCCCAGGGCTTGGAGTTTTAAGGGGTAAGTAAAGAGGTTCATAGTTCATAGACCTTCGGTCATTCCTCGAATTGAAAGAGTTTCGCACTTCGACACGGACCCATTTGGCTATGGGTCAAAACCGTTTTGGGATCCCATTTTGGGGTAGGTGAACTCACCACCCATTTTAGAACCTTTTTTTATGGGGATTGGGATGTTCACTGGGGGTACGATTTGGATTTTGACCCATGGCCATTTGCACTTGCAAAAGCTCGCGGAAATGTTTGGTTCTCGTTTTCGAAAGGCCCGCACGAAGGTGCCTCGGTTCCCGAATTCTCGTAGAACCATGCGAGAAACCCACGCTCCGTGCGATGCTTTGGTTCCACGGAATATCACGGATTGCGTTAAACAGCAGTCCGGGACATCGGAAAATACGTTCAACGAGCGCTGGGTCGATCCAGCTGTGCCAATGCGGCAAAGGATTGGCCTTCAGTGTTGCGCCTGAGTGCCTGAAAGATGAAGATACCTGAGACATGACTTGAAGCGTTCGTGTCATTTGGGTCCCTGTTACTACATCAAGTTTGTTTGTTTCGAATGCGTAGAGTTTCCGGCCGGGCTCTTTCAGGTGCGAGTGCCGTATTCGATCGCTAATGCCAAGAGGTGACGCTTGCGAAGAAAAACTCACTTTGAGATGAGCGCTCAAAACCCTCATCCATTTCGGTAGGTGGTTCCACTACCTGGTTACTGCCTGATTTAAGTAAGATCAAGGTCTATATATATAAGCTTTTATAGCCAATTTATCCGAAGCAAACGCCTGTTGGTTTTGGTCGCCATAGTACCATATTTGTGCAAGTTGCATGATTTCTCTACTTCAGAAGACGTGTTTGTCCATGCTGTCCCTGCCCCCTTAAACATGGAATTGGGGGGAGGGTGTGACCCCTAGTCAACAAGCCTCGGCTGCGAGGTGACCACTCTCACAGTAAAAGCGTCCTTTTTGAAGGGCACCTTTTATTTTTAATCAGCTTCAAAAGGGAAGCCAAAGGGACCACCTTGTTTTGGGTCCCCTAAAAACAGAGACGCCCAATACAACCGCCATGTTTTGGGTCTTCTAAAAGAGAGACACCCAAATGCCGCAAGGAAATTAAGCCTCAACCACAAATAGGTCGGACTGGAGTCAGCGGCTGTCTTTGCTTTCTGGAATTGTTCTGGGATGTAGGCCGCAATCGCAGTTCTGTTGGGTCCACCAGAGTTTTGGCTTCAAAACCTGAACTTTCGTAGTGGCAACGCCCCGAAAGCGACCGGTTTCCCCCAGTGGAAAAGTGGCATTTTCGAAGCCAGACGTTGACTTCGGAATCCAGAAGATGAAAAGGGCTGGCTCCGTTTTTTGTTGGAATCAGTCTAATTAGTGTTAACCCCGGATCTGAGTAGAACCCCTGTTTGATAAATAGGGGGTGTTCCTTGTTAGTGGGGATTCCATCGCTTTTGGAGTTTAGCATGGGGTCAACATTACATTTCAATTGATACGGCTCCTGAACCCCCATGCAGGTTGGAGCAGCCAGTAGCCATGACACAATCTCATGGGCTTCCGTTGATTCCGAATTCAACACATTGTGTATCGCAGAGCTTGCCGATTGCCAGCTCGCCCAGATTCGCGAAGCAACTTTGTGCAGCATTGCAAGGTGCTCAAGCACACTCGCGAACACATGGCATTTGCACCATGGAACTGTTTCTTTCCCTTTCGCAGCCTCAAGTGGGTTCCTCACTTCATATGCGCGCCTGTTCAAAATCAGAGCATGAATCAACATCTAATATAAAAGCATCAGTCAACATTCAATAAGTCAAAGCGTCATATCAATCAATTCACTTCATCCGACAATGCAATTGTCAATACTTGGTGGCTCCCAGCCATCCCCTTAGCCTTTTAGCTTTTTAGTGTTTAGTGGCAGTTTCCATTCAACCCACTAAACGTTATTCACTTTTAGCGGGGGATCAGACATCGGGCAGCCCAGAATCTAGCATCTTGCCGCCAGAGGAACCGGCAAGCCCAGGAGAGAAGTAGAGCTCGGGCCGACGGTCGGGTCGGCCTGGACTTGGGGAAGGGATATTTTTGTGGAGGCTTCCTGCTTTCTTGGCGAGGGAAACCAAAAGGAACCAGGGACCTCCGGAAGTGGCGTGGTTTTAAAGGGAAACCAAAAGAACCAGGAACCTCTGGAATGATTTTTTGGGGGTCCCCAATTTTCAGACACGCCCGTTTGTTTCAAGAATAAGGTCCAATCCAAACAAGGATTGGGTTCTCTGTGTTTTCCCTTTGAACATGAAGGAAGTGGCCCTTTTTCAACCCTTGGGATTTATTTTCTGGGCCTGCGGCCTCTAGCCAGCTACGCCTCTTTGAAGTTATACCATGTCATGTCATGTTTTTTGTATGAGAAACGTATCCTGTGCTATGATATGGCTGGTTAGGTTATGCATGTTGCCCACCCCAACCCCAGATGATGCCGGGGATGCCAGCTTTCGGGCCCTAGCCAGGACCCAAACCAGAAGGCTCACATGGGGTCGCGCGCGCGTGCGCGCGCGCGCGCCAGAGGCCGCAGAAAAAGCAGCCCAAAAAGAACAGCCCGCAAGCCAGCCCGGAAACGCAAAAGCAACAAAACACCGTAAATAGCAGCGTTTTTGTGGCTGGGGTCGCGCGCGCGCGCGCGCGCGCCAAAAGGCCCGAAAACCAACGCGAAAAAAGCAAGGACCGCGCAGCACGCGAGCCAGCCACAGCAAAAGCAAAACGGACAGAACAACAGCCTGCCCACCGCTCAGCACAGCAGTTTTTGACGGTATTTACAGCGTTTTGTAGAGCGAGGACCCAGCATCGCCGGCATGCCCGGCAGCGCTTGGCGCCAAAATGCGCGAAAATGAGCCTCGCTTATATCCCTCCGATACCTTCTTAAAAACAGTGCTTCATGGGTTGAAAGGCTTTTTAGAAGGAAGTCTGGATGATGCAGACCAAGCCCCGCTGAAGCATCACCCAGGCCCAACCCCACGCCCTGATGACGTCAGTCACATGGCCTAAACCCTGCATATACGCGATGTTTTGCGAGGGTTTCCCACAGGCACGCAAAACCGCAAGCCCGAGCTGGTGATGCAGAGGTGCCGGATTTAGGCAGCGCATCACGACCAAGTGGCGAGGGTCGGCGGCACCAGGGTGCACCCCCTATAGCTAAAGCTAGCAGGCTAACTGCCTAGCGGCGACATGCTACCCCAAGGAGGCGTAGCCGGATTTAAGGGCTGCCGCCCTGTGCTGCCGCCCCCGGCTTCCTTAGAACAATTATGACTACGCTATTTTTTGTCGGGCTTACCGGCACACTTAAAGCATACATGAAAAAGAAGAGCGCCACGATAATGATCATGCTTTTGATGTTACAAGAAGTGCCCTCGTCTGTGGAAACTTGGGCAAGAAAACCATGTTGGGGGACTGCGACTGCGCATCTTTTCAATTTTGGCAGAACGCGCGTTTTGAATGCTGTTTGTTTTGTGGGTGCTGGCTTTGCCTCCCCTATTTTACGGCGTCTGGGCGGGGGGATTCCAGCTTTTTGTTCAAATGTTAATGAGGAGGCGAATCTTGGCGCGTTTCTTTGTACTCTGCATTATTCTGAAGGGCGAAACTCTCGCGATTTCTTTTTTCGGGGTTTTGGCCGTGTTTCCGCGCTGCGTGGTCGGGCAGGTGCGGATTGTGACTGCGCATCTTTTCAATTTTGGCAGAACGGGTCTGCATTTTGCATTGTGGTTGGTTTTGGCGGTGCTGGCTTTAGGTTTTTCTTAAGTTGTTGGTGAGGTGTTGTGGATAAGTAGGTGATTTGTGGGGGGGGGGGGTAACTATTAATTCATTGCGAAGCTTGGCATGACGGTTATTTTTCTACATGGCACGGGTCAGAGTTAGAGCCATTTTGTTTGTACAACAGTGTGATCATAATCATCATCATCATCAATCATCATCATCAATCATCATCATCATTTTCATTCATCATCATTTTCATCATCATGTTCATCATCATCATCAACATCATCATTTTCATCATGATGTTCTTCATCATGTTCCTCATCCTCTCCGCAGCATCAGCAGTAGTTATCATGACAACGGCACACCATCATCCTTTTCATCATCATGCTCATCGTTCATTATCACCAGCATGTTCATCATCATCATCATCATCATCATCATCATCATCATTATCATGTTTATCATCATGTTCATCATCATAAAATGATGATGATGTTGATGAACATGATGATGAAAATGAGGATGATGATGAGCCTGATGAATCATTTTCATCGTCATCATCATCATCATCATCATCCAAGGCTAATCATCACTACGCATCCTCAGCATCACCAGCAGTTAACGAACAGATGATGAAAATGATGATGATGAACATGACGATGATGTTCATCATCATCATTTTCATCATCTTGTTCATCGTCATTGGTATGTTCATCATCATCATCATCATCATCATTTTCATCATCATGTTATCATCATCATCATCATCATCATCATCATCCTGATGGTAATCATCACTACGCATCATCAGCATCACCAACAGTTACCATGACAATTATTTCCAGTCGGGTCTAACGGCGCACTTGAAGCGTATATGAAAAAGAAGAGCGATGATGAACATGATGATGAACATGATGAGGAACATGATGATGCAAATGATGATGATGATTAACATGATGATGATGAACATGATGATGAACATGATGATGAACATGATGATGTCATGATAACTGCTGGTGATGCTGATGATGCGTAGTGCAGCTCCATGCTGTACCTCAACTTCTCTTCCCTTCCATTTGCTTAAGATTGTTTTTGTTATTATTATTTTGCCCTGTTGGTTTTGAAAGGAATCTATGACCATTGTTTTTTCCTTTGAGGGGCTTAGCAAATGGACGTTCAGGAGACAGCAATCGCCATCAGATGAAAGCCTTTTTTGATTAGGCGGTTCGTCCAAAGGCGGTTCCCAGGTGGTGGATTGGCTGGGAAAAAGGGATGGATCGCAAACGAGCAAGACATGGATGACCATCTACCCTCTCGCCAACCCGGTATTACGGGGATTCGAGATCAGCGCGGTGAAGTGTCATAATTTGCCCGAATCAGTGCGTTTTGAAAGCTGCTCCATCGAGAATGGATATTGGGCCCTCGTTGGATTTCGGCTTCTGACGTAGCCCGACTGTATCAGCTTGAACTGGCGTGAAGTAGCGTATGCCTCCTGGAACCAAATCCCACCACAACACAGGTATGTGACCTCAAAGTAGAAATCGGACCCTTTTGGTGATGGTTTCAAAGAAAAGCCAAAAAATATATCAACCACCAACTACGTGGGCTGGCTAATTGTGAGAAACACGCATATGCATGTTTGGTACACTGTATGTGTACACATCCATCAACATGTCGGCATGTTTTCCTTGCAGGACGCATGGCTTCCAGTGGGATGGACATGATCTGCATGCCGGACCTCTCCGCCTGCATTCAGTTTTCCCTCTCCCTCATCGCATTTGCGATCGTCTCTGGCCCCCAGCGAATCAAATATACCATCTACGTTCCTTGGTGGCTCCCAGCCATCCCCCGAGTTTTTAGCATTTTAGTGTTTAGTGGCAGTTTCCATTGAGACCACTAAAAGTTAAACTTTTAGCGGGGGATCTGAGGGCAGCCCAGGTTCTTCTTGCCACATGGCCACTCCTGGTCATTGACCTCTCTCACATCGGCTCGGGCGTGTCTGCTTTCATTGCCGGCGCTCTCATTGGCTCTTGCAGAAATTTTCACAAGGACGCGCTGGTTGATTTGAATCGAAATGCCTTGTGGATTTGGGTGTGTCTTCTTTTTGAGGGTACCCCTTGTTTATGGTTTTTAAAGGAAACCACAAGGACAATCATCATTTGTTTCCTTGTTTTTGGGAGGACGAGGTTCCTCTAAAAAAACAACATGTTTGTTCAATCTAACATGCTTACGGCTTGGTTGGGTTCGTTCAACTGGTTGCACCAAGCTTTCCTGAAAACGGGCCCAACTTAGCCATGCAGGTCTCTTCACTTGTCCAAGGCAAGCCTTTACTTGCTGGTGCTCAGCTGGGAACGACCGTTCCGGGTGTTAGGAATGAACCACAAGGGGATTCCCTTCAAGGAAACCATAGGGGATGGTTTACTTCTCAAACCAGCAAATCCATTTCGGTTCACCTTGAGAACCAACCCATCAGACAGTTCCCCACTAAAAAGACCACCCCCTTCGAACCAAGCTGAAAATGGCTACCTACCATTCGTTTAAAAAAAGGAAAAAAGAAAAACACAACACACACACACACACACACTTAACCTGAGCCTCCCGATGAAAAAGGAAACCTGAACCTACCATTCGAGACAAAGCAACAACTGAGCCTCATCGATCACCAGGTCCCAGCCGACGTGCCCTTCCTGATCCTCAGCGGATGCCTGTGGTTCGCCTATCTCGGCACTTGGCCAGCACTTAGATTCCCCTTCTTTGTTTGTCTTCTTTTTTGCTTTTCTTCGGCGGAACCTGCGTGTGTGCGTGTGTGCGTGTGTGCGGTTGTGAGTGTGTGTGTGGGTAAATGTATGTGTCTCTGTGTGTGTGTGTGTGTCTCCGTGTGAGTGTGCGTTTGTTTGTTTGTGTGTGTGTGTATTTGTGTATTTGTGTATTTGTGTATTTGTGTAATTGTGTATTTGTGTATTTGTGTATTTGTGTATTTGTGTGTTGTGACTGTGTCTTGATGTACTTGTATGTTTGTTTGCGTGTTTGTGTGCGTGTGGTTGTGAGTGTGTCTGTCTGTGTGTGTGTGTGTGTGTTTGTGTTTGAGTGTGTGTGTGTGTGTTTGTGTGTCTGTGTGGCTGTGTGTGTGTGTGTGTGTGTGTGTGTGTGTGTGTGTGTGTGTGTGTGTGTGTGTGTGTGTGTTGTGTGTGTGTGCGTGTGTTGCGTGTGTGCGTGTGTGCGTGTGTGCGTGTGTGTGCGTGTGTGCTTGCGTGCGTGCGTGCGTGCGTGCGAGCGTGCGTGCGTGCGTGCGTGCGTGCGTGCGTGCGTGCGTGCGTGCGTGGGTGCGTGGGTGCGTGGGTGCGTGGGTGCGTGGGTGCGTGGGTGCGTGGGTGGGTGTGTGTGTGTGTGGGTGTGGGTGTGGGTGTGTGTGTGTGTGTGTGTGTGTGTGTGTGTGTGTGTGTGTGTGTGTGTGTGTGTGTGTGTGTGTGTGTGTGTGTGTGTGTGTGTGTGTGTGTGTGTGTGTGTGTGTGTGTGTGTGTGTGTGTGTGTGTGTGTGTGCGTGTGTCTGCTTCTTTTTTTTTGTGTGTGTGTGTATGTCTGTGTGTGTGTGTGCGTGTGTTTGTGTGTGTTTGCGTTTGCGTACTTGTATGTTTGTTTGTGTGTGTGTGTGTGCGTGTGTGTTTCTTGAGGAACTTGTATTTTCCATCCCCTTCCTTTTTTTGGGATGAATCCCCAAAAAACAAAATCCCTTGCACAAGAGCCCCCGCTTCTGGATCCATCTACCTGTTTCTTCCTCCTTGAGGCGGAAACCCTTCAAAATCAACCAGAATGAGCAAGACATGCTTCAGACATGGGAAAGAGGGACATCTAATGACTAGGTCCCCCAGTAGTGCCCTTTTACCCTTTTTGGGGGAGGGTTCCCCTACTAAAATAGACTACAGAAAAAAAAGGGTACCCTTATTCTAGCCTCTCTACTGGAGGACCTAGATGAAGAAGATGTGTCAAAAGCTGGTGCTGTGAATGTTAAGAAAGAACCACCAACCACAGGTTGGTGGACTTGAGTCCAGAAATGATGCCCACCAGCTTGGGTCCGGGGCCCCTTCAACATTTCACACCTATGTTGGCGGTTCGTAGTCATTCCCTTAGCCTTCAAAAGCTCTTTTTTTCCGTGCTTGGTGGGGGATTTCCGTTTCACCCACTCAAAGGTTTCAACTTTTCGCACTCAGAAAACGGACCGCCAAGCCCTCCTGGCCGTACCTGAGAAAACGCCAACCCCATGGCTCCTCCTTTGCTTGAGCCCGACCGCCCCAAAAGCCGCCGTTAACCCTAAAAAGGGTACCTGGACCCTCAACCGTCCCTTCATGGGTTCTTGCCGCCCAAGATTTGTGGTCATGGGTGTCCTTTTTGGTTGATTTGGTTTAAACAATACAGGGCGATTCCTGGTTTCCCTGGTGGTTCAATCAACTACCAGGGCCATCTATTTTCCCGAAAAGGACACCTATGTTTATGGTAAAAGGGTACCCGGACTGTTGAGGTACTGCCACCCAAAATTTATGGTTGGTGAATTCTCGATTTTGTTTTGGCTAGTTAGTTAGTTGTCCAGGTATCCTCAGTTCCAGAGCAGTTCTGCCACAGTTTTCTCCTCAAAACGGCGGAACCCATGTGGTTTTTGTTGTAAGGTTGGTTCCCCAAGCCTAGATTTCGGTCGAAACCGGTTGGTTTCCCTATTAGAAAACCGACCAAACGTCTGTAGAAGAGGGGGTGCCCTCGCTCGAGACACCGACGAGTTTGCTCGGTGAGGCCACTCCATGCACTTTGTTCGAACGGCGTTTATAGCAGCAGCGGCGGCCATCATGACCTGGCTTTGCTTGGAGAGGGTGCAGAAGCTCGGCGGAGGGCTGGCTCACTTGAGGTCATCCATTTGCTTCCATGTTCAGGAGAAAAGATTCAGGGGATCATTTAGTGGCACGACTTCCTGAGTTCATGGACCACTAAAAATTAAGCTTTCAGCAGGGGAGCAGTAAACGGACAGCCCAGTTAAGTTTCACTTGTTGGAGTTGGACCATGTCAGTGGCACACAAAAAGTGTGGCTACTTTTTTGTGGGCCAGCCACTCAGGAAGTGAGTGGGCGGTCGTCATCAGACCCGACCAGCACCCACCAACTTGCAACTTCTTTGTTCCCATGTTCCAATCCGAAAGTACTGTCCCAAAAGCAATTGGAATGGTGGTGTTCGGCTTAGTATTCCGAATCTCCAGGCTAACATGGCATGATCTTCCCAGTGTGTGTGAGGAAGGCATATTTTTGGCGGAAGGGCAGTGCAGTTTTCAGGAGAAGTGATGTCCGACACCCTTCATATTATGAGAGACTCAATATTTTCCGACATCTACGGGGAAGGAAATGACACACCCAACATGCGCATGTCAGGGTGCATGTTTTCTGAGTTGGTACCCTTTGTAAGGTTGGTTCAAAGCAAATCAGCAGGAATCCCAAAATCCATTTTTGGGGTCCCAGGACCAGACACATGCCTATAAATAGATAGATAAATAAATCAATATATTATATATATATATATATTTTAAATACATATCCCAACTGGTGCACTTGCAGACGCCTTCTCGCTGGGGCGCCACTCACTTTTGCGACCTCCAGCCTTGCTTCTTTGGGGCCTTTTCCGGTCCCGGGCTTGGCGAAAGCGAGAGCGAAAGCACCCTGGGGCCGAAGGATGTGCGTGGATGTTTGCGCATGTGCCCGTGTGCGCGCCTGCCCTGGCAAACACGAAGCACACTGAATCTCCATCGCTTTAAAGCAGGGTTTTTTCCTCAGATCTGCGGCGAAGACTTTACTTTTAGTGGGTACAATGGAAAGCCTAGACCCTAAAAAGCTCGCAAAGGTCTAAGGAGACGGCGGTGAACCGACAAGAGTCTGGCCTCATGGAAACAACTTTTGCCAGAGGCTCGCTGTAGTCCATCCCAGAAGACGAAGAAGTATGCCACAGATTGAGACTCCAACAGCAACACCGAGCATGGCATCCCTACAATGTGCTAATGTGCTGAGAACATGGAACGACTGACCTTTAGCCAAACACCCAAGTTGGCATCTAAGAATATTCAGCTCGACGTCGAATCAACATTACTCCCCCCCAACCCCCCACGCCACTCCAAGCATCCGTGAAGAAAGTACCCTTCAAGACATGAACAGAAAGGGCGCACTGGTTGGCCATGCTGATGCAGTGAAAACACTGAGAAAAACGCGGGCAAACTTCCGTCATGTGGTGCGAATACTGGCAGAAACGCGGTCTGACCAACGAAGTCTCGAAACACTCCCGATGGCATTATATATATATATATACATATTAATCTATGTATTTATTAATTTATGTATTATTATCTTTATTATTTGATTTATTTATTTATTTATTTATTTATTTATCTATTTAGTTCATTATGTTTTATTTATTTGTTTATTTATCTATTTGTTTATTTATTTAGTTAGTTATTTGTTTATTGTATATGTGTACATATATATATATATATATATGTTAGGGCTAGACTGAACATCAACAGAATCTGAACATTGATTTTTCTGTGTACCGCAGATGTAGGAGGATCATGGCTGATAGAGAATTTACTTCTGGGAAGGCAGATGGCACATATCCGTTGGGACTTGAGCCTTGTGGAACAAGCAGACCGATTTGGAACCCCGTTTGGATGTTGGCAGCCCTTTTGGATGGCCCCTTGCAACCGGCTTCCTTGTGTTTTTTGGTTGTTGTTTTTTTACATAGAACAAATCACAATAAACAACATATTGTTTTGTTTAATGAAACCAACAAAAAGCGCATTCCCCCAAAAGACACTCCCGAACATGGCCTACCCCAAGCTTTTCCGGTTTCTTTTGGAAGTAAGGGACCCAATTTGATCGTGGCAGGGTAACTTCCAAGGGACCTGATGAAAACACATGAGTGTGAGTCTTTTTTCAGGGGGTAATTGATGAGAAGTGTTTTTTTAGGGACCCGAACTGGTGGGCATCATGTGGGTCTTTCTTGAGGGCACACCAATTTTTGTGTGGTTGCGAAGGGACACCAGAAGGAAACAACTCCGCCATTTTGAGTGGGGATCTGGGACCCCTAAACCCTGTGGCGCTTCAAACCCCTGGAGGTGTGTAAACAAGGGGACGATTGAAGAAGCACGTCGGCCTGTGGCCAACACGTCTTGGACATCACAATGGGTTTGGCTCCTGAGGGTATTGTTCGGATTAATCCGGACTGTTCCAATCAGGGCTGCCCTTTGGGGGGTCGATATGGGTGCTCTGGAAAAATCCGAAGCTGACAGAGAATACCCATTTTTCTCGGGTAAGCGAAGGGAAACCACTTTTAGTTGGGCGTGGGGACACTCCAATGTAGCCCATACGCGAAACTTGCCCGGCCTGTAGATTAGCAGGGAACCCCAACATCATTCTCAAACTGGTGGACCAAAGCCGATGGAAGTTCAAAGGGAAACCAACAGAAGATGGAGGTGCTGTTTTTAGGCGATTCCCAAAATGGTGGTTGTCCTTTGGTTTGCCTTGAACAACACAAAAATGGGGGTAGCTCTCAAGAGAGACAATTTCGATTGGACCATTTTGAAGAGACTGATTCCTATTTGGGACCCCCCCCAGATTCAAATAAATATAGTGCTTTGAACCGTCCCATTTTGCGGAACATGGAGCTCAAGCAGCCATCATGGCTGTTGTTTTTTGGGACCAACACGGATGTTTGTCCTTTTGGTTGCCCCAAATAGAACCACCACACAAAAAGAAAAACACAAAAACTCGAAAGATGGATCGGTGGGTGCTCTGAAACGTCTTCCTTTTCTGAGAAACCCATCAACTTTTCTGAGAAACCCATCAACCTTTCTGAGAAGCACTCAGTTGACCTTGAGCCAGTGTAAAGGACCTACACGCTCCTTCATTTGTGTGCGCCTATTCGCCTATTGTATGTTTTCGGGACTCACAAAGTGGTGGTTTTTCTTTTGTCCCCACTTGCTCATTGAGTTCCTGGACTTGACAGTGTTTGGGAAGACCAGTTTAGCGGTAAACCACCGGCCACATTTCTCCCAATCTCGATGGGAGAGCAACGGAGAAAGCATGACAAAAAAAAAGACAAACAAATGGCAGCCCTAAATGACAAAAGAACGACCACAAAATGACAAAATCGATATATTTCAGGATTTCCAGCTTTTGCAGGGCAAAGTAACTCGTAAAGCTCGTCAGGGCTCCTCAAAAGATACATTTTGCCCATTTGAAACATGGCTTCTTTTCCACCAACATAAAGTTGGACACCACCATTTACAAGTTGCCATGTTCGATCGGTGTTTTTCATGCATCCGGATCCCTCGTCCGAGTGGAAGCACTCAGGAAGAGCAAGACCTCCCGCCTGGGGGCCTTTGAAGGCGTCCTGGCGGGCCTCGGCATCATCGCCCCGATGCACGGCACGGCCTCGACGGCCTCCGCGTGTGCCGCCGCCTGTTCCAGCGCGAGCTTCGGAGTGGCGGGCGGTCTCGTGTGCTGCCCGGCCGAATTGAGCCAAGTGGGGTTTAAACCGATGGGATCCCATTTTTCGCTAGGCTCAGTTCAGTGGCTCCGAGTTGCTTTTTCCAACTCTTTTTTTTGGTGGCTGCCAAACACTAAAATGGTCCAAGCTCAAAAAAGGGTTCCCTTTTTTTTCCAGGGTCACTGAACAACTGAGTAGGTGCACCAGTTTGCTGGGGATTGGGATGTACGATTTGGATTTGACCCACGGCCAATTTGGTGTGTGTCATCGATGGCCCCAGAATGACGCTTCCATTTGCTGGAAGGAATATCTATTTGTCACTTTCCCTTGTTGGCTGTAGTGAGAAGCTATCATCTGCCGCACATACGTTCCTTTTTTTTCCGGTGGGCGTATTCGCAATGGTTGGATGGGGTAACTTCCCCGTGCGGTTGGCTTCCCTACAGGTCCCATGTTCGGACATCGCGATCGAGAAATGGGGGGCGAATCGCCCCATCCGGACATAACTTTTTTGGGGTTGGGCGGCGGCTCAAGCAGCGAGCCGTCCGGTTCCTTGGAATTTTGGGGGCCTTTGGTGTTTTGGTGGTTGGGTCTCCATTTGATTCGCAAGCTCAACTTGTAGCCTCAGGTGTTTGCCTTTCGGGTTTAACAGGGGTTTCCATTTGACCCACTGTAAAAAGATCTGAGGGCTGCCCAGGGTTTACACATAGTTTTTCCATGACCCTACAAAAAGGTGGGACCTTGTACTCGGGAAGAGCAACCCAGAAACGGGCCTAGGAGGAATCCGCTCTTGGGGGGTTTTGGGTCCATGTCAATTTGCAGGGGAGAGACAATTTTGGAGACTCAAACCAACTAAAAACGTATGACCCAGAAAACTGGTTGCAATGTCAAGTGGCCGTCGTACCCCCTTTCCGTTTTTGGGAAATCTCGGGATCTGATGTCATTGCTTGCAGTTTGGTTGAACATAGATATAGATTAAAGTGGTCTCAGTTCACCCAGAGTTACTGGAGTTTATGCACAGTTTCTTTGGTGCATTTTGCCTGGACGTTAGGACTTTAACATACTTTAACTTTTTGCCAACTAATGGGTGTTCCATTAAACCACTAAACGTTAAACTTTTAGCAGGCTCGTTTGGTTTTCAGGACGCCCAAAAGGAGCCAAAGTTCCAGGGGTTGATTCCCCATTCTTGTCAATCATCGTTTGTTTTTTTCCCCAAAAAAAGCCTGGTCCGTTTTTCCCTGGGTTTCTGGCGGTTTTCTGGAAAGAAGCATCCCTGAATAAAAAAATGGGGGAAGGTACCGTCCTAGAAAAGTCATGTTCGACTGGGTCATTTCCTGGGCCGACGGTCGAGTGTCGGCAAGACTTCACGAGCTTCACCTGGAGCTCCTGGAGATGGGAAGACGGGGTAAGTGAAGAGAAGGGTTGGAATGGACCCCTTAGAAAATCAACCCTTGTTTATTCATATGGGTGTGGCTCAAAAAAACGGTACCAAAATTGGAACCCTGGTAAGTGGAACATGGACCAAAACCCGCGTAACCCCTCCTGTTTAATTTTGAGCCACAGCCATATGGGGTGGTCCATTTCTCGGTTTTTTTTTTTGGCGGGGGTTTACTTTTGGAGGGGATTTCCCAACATTGGTCACCCCATATGAAACCAAGGTCCTCCAGCTAGGTGCCCTTTCTCCCCTTTTTTTGTCTGGGAGAGTTCCCCTACTAAAATAGACTAATTACAGAAAAAAAAATGGGTTACGCTTATTCTAACCTCTCTACTGGAGGACCTAGCCAAAATTGGTCACCCCCATATGAAGCCCTGAAACTCGACTTGGTTGAAAACGTATGGCATCCACATACGCCCTCGTCCACAGAGAGGCTTCATGGAAACTTGGCGGCCATTGGGGGGGGGCTATCCCTGGACAAGCCCAGGAAAAGCCCTTAATAAGGCCTGATTAAGGGCTTAATAAGGGATAGCCCCCCCTCCCCATAGCCCTTTTTGGGGGTCCATGAAGTCTACAGCTGTTGTGGGCCGTCAACCCCAGTCCCTCCCCACAAAGACACACGCACACACTCACACACGCAGCGAGGCTACGCCCTTTGACCCTTTTTGAGGGAGGCTTCTACTAAAATAGACTACGGCTAGGTTCTCCAGTAGTGCCCTTTTACCAACTTTTTTTGGGGGAGGGTTCCCCTTCTAAAATAGACTACGCAAAAAAGGGGCACCCTTGTAACCTCTCTACTGGAGGACCTAGGAAACTCGAGATGAAACCCGCCTTGGTTGACCCCTTGCGAGGCTACGTGTCCATGGCGCTGCTCGGCAAGATTAAGATCGTGGACAAGACCTCAGAGGCCTTGGGAGAGGCCGTGGAACGGCTGGGAGGAGCCATCGTCACCGGTGTCTCCATCTTGGACCAGTGTCTGATCTTCTTCTGAAAATGATTTCGGATGCGGTCCGTGCTTTTTTTTTCTTATTCTCCATTCTCTGCATGTGTTTTTTGTGTTTCTGTGTTTTTGCTTTGTTTTTGCTTGCTGGCCTTCCAATTCCATTCTCTGCAAAAACCCGTCTCGAATGATGGTTGCCAAGCTGGGCGTCCATTTGCTGAAATGTGTTTTTCCCGAGTCTATCACTCTTTGAAGCATTGTTTTTTCTTTTTCCAGGGGGCGTATCCGCAATTGGAGGTGGGAAAATGGGGGGGGTTTCTAGAGATCAGGAGTGAAGAGAATGGGAGAGGGGGGTCGACTCCTGGGGTCTTTGTCATGTACAGTCGCGCACTGGCCTCACACTAAGCCACGTGGGGGTGCTAGTCTGGGCTGTTCACAGGCAATCCCGCAAGATCAACTTGGGTTACGTAACGGGTGCCCTTTGTAGTGGCTTGCCTAAAGGCTATAGGGGTTAGAGATGTTGGCCAATCCTTCATCTTGAACAGCCCGGCTGGTGCTTTCATTTTCGGGTTCCCATGTGCGAGCAGGGAACCCCAACCTCGCGTTCTCCGGTCCGCCAGATTGCCTACGAGGCAGAAGTCCTTCGTATTCCCCGCGGCTTCCGCTTGAATTACCAGATGTTTTCGGTGCACGGCTGCTTTTGCCGAGCTTTGGATTTGTCCTGGCGGTTTCAGCCAGCCGGGGTCCTGAGATTTTTAGTTGCTAGTTGGTTTAGTGGCTGGGTTTCAATTTTGCCCAGCACTTGGCAGAAAATCAGAAACCGGACAGCCCATGTCTGATTGTGCCACGATCGCAGTTGCGGACCCCGGCCCGGCTTTGGCGCTGAGCACTGACTCGAAAGCTCCGCCAGTGAATCTGGAGCATACTCTCTTGACGCACATGCGCTCACAAAAAGGGGCACTGACTGGTTGCCAGGCTTTCCGCTGTCAAGTGCCTGGGACCGGGGCTGATATTGGGACCGGCGCTGATATTGGGACCGGGGCTGATACATATATATATATATATATACAGTTATATATATATATATATGTATATATTTGTACACACGAAGTAGTTAAAAAGACTTCCAGACACAACAGCTAGATCGTTGGGGGGTCTGACCATACATACATATATATATATATATATGTAGCTCAACCCCCCCTTCCGCATGATCTACCATATATATATATACATAGATGTATATGGCTCTGTGTGGCCAAAGGCCGACTGGAAAAAAGACATGGGCTCGTTTTCCCTGGTAAAAGGTTTCGGTTTCAGGGGACCCGCAAAAGGGAACCCGCAGCCATTTTGGGGGTCTCCTTATCTAGGTCCCCCAGCTAGGTGCCCTTCTCTCCCCTTTGTTGGGGGAGGGTTCCCCTACTAAAATAGACTACAGAAAAAAGGGTACCCTTATTCTAGCCTCTCTACTGGAGGACCTAGTTATTTTAAGACGCAATAGGTGATAGACCTTTTTGCTCAGGGGAAGAGCAACCCATGGAAGTTTGTGAGAGACTCAATGGCCCAAGCTGTCCCTTAAATAATGTCCTGCAGTCCTCACCAGGTTGTTTCTCAAATCCTGGACCTCTAAAACGGCAACGTGTGTCTCCTCTTGGTTTCCCATTAGTTACCAACCACGCGGGGTGGCTTTCCTATCATTTTGAGGAACTCCGAGTCGTCTTGGTCGACTAGGAGCCAACACGGTACTCCCCGCCATTTGGCGGTGTCTTTATTTTGGAACCTGCAACATGGATTTGTGTTTATTTGTGTGTTTCCTTTTGGTTCCCTTTAAAGCCACAAACAAAGGCGCCGCCAAGCCTCAAAGAAAGACAACAGTCCGAATCAATCAGTGCTTGTCTCAAACAGAAGCTTCTTTTTTGTTGGCAACAATTGGCTTTTGGTTTCCCAAGAAGAACCGCCCCGAACAGGGCTTTCCTCACCTGAGCCACAATCAAAACCCGGGTAGATGAAGGTTAGCAAGGGGCAGTCCCAGCCAGAAATAGCAATTCCGCCTTCTTAATTCTTGAAGCATGGTTCTGGGATTACGACCATCTTTTGTACCGGGTTTCTCAGTTGTTCAGTGGCTCCGAGTCTCTTTTTCCAACTTTTTGTTTTGGTGGCTGCCAAACACTAAAATGGTCCAAGCCCCAAAAAAAGGGCTCCAATTCTTTTTTTCCAGGGTCACTGAAGAACTGAGACATGGTGGTTGAAACAACCACCAAGCTGGTCCTAATGTGTTTGCTTCCGATCCAAGGGCATGTGGGGGCTTGCTGAGGTTTTGAGCAAGTGACTCACCTTGAGAACCCCAGCCTCGCAGTCCTTTGGCTCAAGCTCCGCAATCGCGCGTTCGCTTCATCGCTTCGCTGGCAACATGTCGATGGAGGCGGGGGGCGCTTTTCAGCAGCCGCGCAACTCGTTCGTTCCACGGTTCTACATGGTGTGTCTTGTTTATATGGCCGTGGTGGTCAAAACCGTTTTGGGATCCCATTTTGGTTGGTAGGTGAATTCGCCACCCATTTTAGAGCCGATTTTTAGTGGGGATTGGGATGGGGGTACGGGATTTTGACCCATGGCCATATGTTTCCTTTTAAACCCACCGAACAACGGCCACCCTCAGCAGAAAGACACACCTGTGTCTTACACTTAAGTTTCCGATGCGGTTTCTTTTCCCCCAGTTGGTTTTAAAGGGAGTCTGTCACGGACATAGTCTTTTCCAGGGACTTCAGCGATTGGATGGTGTGTCTGGGTGTGTTATAAGGGTACCTTTTTTGTGTCGGTTAGGAGTGAAACCAAAAGGAGCAAAACATGTTTGTATGGCGCACCGGTCTGAAAAATTCCGGCCTAAGCGATTCAGTGCATCAGCTCATTACTAAGCGCATCCGGTGTCAACTTGAGGGGCGGTACACACTGTACCGCTTGGTGGCCTTTAGCATTGGCAATGTTCCATGTAGTGCAAGAGGGAGTGGCCTACCTTGGCCAGAACCAACATGCGGCTTTTGACAGGAATGGTTTCCTGAACCCGCCGCTTTATGAGTCACGAGTTCGGCTGCTTTCTGGTTGGATAGAATGCGTGAACAGGGATGTTGGCTTTGGGTACTATGCAACTAAATCCAGTCATGACCACGGGAAACGTCGATTCATCATGATTCAGCCCCTTTGATTAAAAGAAAAGAAGAAGAAACAAATCCGCGGGAGGCACCGGGACGGCTTACCCGGGCAGGGTAAGCTTAGGGACCTCTTCCCTCGCAGAGTGCGGACTTCTTCCCTCTACGACCAGATCTTGCGTCCTTAGCCTTTTGGAATTCAGGTCCCGGGCCCCGATCTCGCTTGCGAATGTGGGTCGGTTCTCACCCTGTTTTACTTGAGTTAGTAAAGCTGATATAAGTCCGGGTCAAAATGAAACCACCAGACGTCGGAGACGCAGATTGAATCGAGTCCAGTTTCCAGGGTTCCGCTTGGGGTACCCCTTTTTTTGGACCCACCCCCATATAAGTCTTTTAGCACCATGTAGAACCAAAAGTCAGTGTGTGAAACGGGCGCTCAGATGGGAAGTCTTCAAGCGCAGGTGATGTCGCCAACGAGCGCAGCCCCTTGACGCATTAGCGGAGGTTCGGACGCACAGTGCCCTGTTCCCCTTTTGGTTTGGTGGGTTCCCACCTGGGTGGCGAGTTTTTTTTTTTGAGTTGGTATCCCTTTCTGTTGATGGTTTAAAGGCTGCCAAAGGGAAAACACCATTCGCTGGATCACCCAAAAAAAACACAACACCCACATGGTCAAGTTAAGAGTTCCTTTTTGTCCGCAAGTGTGTTTAGTCTTCCTTCCTTTTGGGCTCGACATGTTTGCTTCGGAGAAAGATGCGAGCGGCAGAGAGATCTGATTTACCGTCTGTTGGCCCGCGCTTGGGCAAGTGGTTTTTTTGGGAATCCGACCCCCCCACCCCCCCCTCCCGCCAAAGAAAAAGCAAGAGACACCAACAGTTAGTTTCCCTTTAAAAGGACAAAGAAATGGTACCCTGAAAAGACAAAAAACACACCCACTTGCTTGGTTGTGTTTTTGTTTCTGCACCCTTCCGATCGGGTCGTTGAAGCAGGTGAAGCACCCTTTTGACGCTCCCTAAGCAGCCCAGCCCAGGCAAAGATTTGAGAACAAGTCAGCTTGCGAGTCGCTTGCGGCAACAAGAGAACCACTCACAAAAGGTAGCACGATTAAGACAACAAGTTCGCACTAGCAACAGAGGAGCCGGAAACATTGGTGGCATTTTTGGTTCAGTGCGGTTAGAAATAGATGATTAGTTATTCCATTCATCAGGGCCATGTATTGTTCCAAAAGGTCACCTGCCGCACGGGCACAAGCCACAAATTTGATTCCGAGCTGCCCTCCTGCTTTCTTCCGTGCACCCGTGCGGAGCGCCATGGAAGTCGCCATAAGTCGCGTTTCCTTCCACCCTCGCAAACTCTGAGCTGGGCTATTATGGTGCTACACCGGATCCAAAAAGTTGGCGTGAGGCGAGCTCCAACTTGACTCTCGCTGGGTCGGCGCGCGCGCGCGCCACGATCCGAAGCCCTCCGAGGACATGGCCGAGGCCAAGTGCGATGCACTGTTGGCCATGATCGAGGACTCGGAGCTGTTGGCCAAATCGAAGCCCTGGGCCCTAGGCGTCCAACGCCCGTTACGACAATGGTCGAGGCGAATTGTTTAAAGAGTGGTCGAGGAAGCATAGGGTGGACGCTTCTGGTTGGTTTTCTCGACTCCTTTTGGTCTAAACTTTTGTGTACCAAGTTGGTTTTCCCGAAAAAGAACGAGACAAGTCGGAATTCCGGGGAACTCATTTGGAGTGAGGATATGGTTGGTCAAGGTTCCAAAAGCTGAACGCCTCCAGTTTCAGGGTCCTTTCTTGGGCAACTAAGCGGTTGGAGCTTTGGCGCTTGGTTCGGTTTGGAAAGAAGGGGAAGCAGCGCAGAGGCTGGCACGGCTTCTAGGTCTATGTTTTCTGGGGTGGACTTAGGATACATTTTGCATTTTACCAGTGACTCAAAGTGAAGCAAACAATAAAATATACATTCTATAACTGGGCCGAACTCTAATCATGGCTCCTACTTCCTTAATTCGCGTGCGCAAAAAAAATAGCAGGCGCTTCGAGGAAAGTTGTTCCAAAGACATGTTCGCACAACACACTTCGCCTGACAGCAAAAATGTAGCCGTTGAAACCAGCCGGCTTCTCTCGTTTCATGAAAGGCTTCGACACGACTTGCTGGTTCTCTGTAGGGTTTAGGGTTGCCCGCTACCATCCAACTGCTGATCCCTTCGAGTTGCTGGACCTAGGTCCCCCAGTACTGCCCGACCTCTCACCCCTTTTTTGGTTGGGAGGGTTCCCCTAGTAAAATAGACTACAGAAAAAAAGGGTACCCTTATTCTACCCTCTCTACTGGAGGACCTAGTAAATAAAAAGTTGCGGTACTTTGTTTGGCCAATCCACTCGTTCGCATGTGAGGTTTGTTTCTTCCCAAAACCTCTCAAACGATTCACTGCGCCAGGTGGGGAGAGCCTCTCCCTGCGATTTGGCTACTTAGACCGTCTTGGACTTAGCTAAATAGTTAGTAACCCTGTTTGTAGGGGACTTACAACCATGCTAAGCGGGTTACAACCAGGCTTACTAACCACTTAGCTATCTTCCAGACCATCTAAGTAGTCTCCTGGGTGCCTGAGTCCTTACTCAGCAGGAGGAGGATTCCCCCTAAATGCACCTTGACAAAGCTTATTGGAAATGGCGCCAAGGGAATTTCCCCAAAAATCTCCCCGCTCCCTCTGCATCCCCGTGAAAGTTCGTTTGTCCAAAGTGGAGTCGATTGAGGACAGGGCAGCAAGTGCCCAGCCACTGAACTTTCGAGCCACGGACTGTGGCACCTCCGAGTTATTGTACTGGTTTCCTGGCTACCGAACACCATGCTATGACTTTCGATGGCAACACCCTAAGTGGACAGAACCGTGATGTCCATACTCTCCCCAATGATTGTCTGTTTTGTGTTCGAAACCCCATGCAGTACCATGTATCCTCAGTTGCATTGCGTGTCCCCTACAAAAAGGTTTGGTGAGAATGGACCAGTCCCTGTCTTGTCAGCCGAACAACAGCTCTTCTCTCAGGAGACTGAAAGATCGAGTTCGGATCCTATGTGCAACTTTATTTGGTACTACCTGTTTTAATTCAGATATAGTAAGGCCTGTATAAACCTATATTTGCATAATATTATATAACTTATATCAACCGTATCAACCTATCTAAACCCGTATACACCTACATACACCTATATCAACATGTACATCTATGTAAACCTATGTAAACCTAGAACAACCTATCTAAATCTATATAAACCTACATAAACCTATATAGCCATGCAGACCCGAATTTGCATGGTGCTTGAGCGCACATTTCTTCGAACCCTCTCACCCAGTCCTTTCCTTTCGCCCGCAGGAGGAGCGTGCTGAGCGCATCCGGGCGGTGGAGGCGGGGAATGGATGAAATCCCAGTCAGGGTGGGGTAGCTGAGAGCCCCGAAATCGGGTTGTTTTCCTATGGTTGGCCGATTCCATCGCGATGTCCGTCCTTGGCGGCCCCTGACAACCATAGCTAGGTCCCCCAGCTAGGTGCCCTTGTACCGTTTCATTTTTGGGAGAGGGCTTCCCCTACTAAAATAGACTACAGAAAAAAGGGTACCTGTATTCCAACCTCTCTACTGGAGAACCTAGATAGGATGTTTAGGGTTTGATAGGGTTGCTTGAGCCCCTTGGACCAGGTCTTAGGGATTCCACAAGCCTTCCCAGACTTCTGATGGTCCAGGGCCAGAGGGGACCCTCCAAAAAAGCCAACATTTTGTGGTTCCCAGGCATCCGCTTACTTGTTTTTGTTTAGGCTTTTGGTTGGATTGGTGGTTAGATTTGCGTAGGGAACCCGCAAGTTTAGCAGGGGATATGAAACCGGACTGCCCAGAAAAGGAACCCGGTTCGTCCATAATAGGCTTCTTAGTTACTATTAGCCCCTACTGGGATTGGGGGGGCCATATTGGGGGGCCATATTGGGGGGTGATTGACGGCCATAGGACAGGCTGGGTTTTCCTGGCTGGGATCCCTCAATCTCCCTTTGTTGGACCTCAAGTGGCAGTTTCAAAGGAACCCACCAGTAAATTGCATTTTTTTTTTTGCAAGGGGAAGCCCATTGACCCCTGGTACATGTGATTCTAAAACTGGAAACCCCGGATTTGTACACGCCTGGTTGATTTTGTTTGGGGGGGTGTCCACCTTTTTTGTGTGTGGGTTCATCACTTTGGAGAGATTCTCTCCGGTATGAATCGGACGGGTCTTACTTAGATCCGGGGTCAACCTTACCTGGACCTGGACCCTCCTTTGCTACCCTGGAAAACAGAAGTTGAGCATAAAACCTGAAAGCATCATCCCTTCAGCCAATATAACAACAAGCTACCCTTAACAAAAAAATCACCCTTGTGTGGTCTGTTTTTAGGTTCCAACAGGAAATTTCCTTTTATAGCCGAGTCCTTTGTGCATCTTGCTGGTGCCCAGCTATCCCCTTGGGTTGTTAGGTCTCTGGGGTGTAGTGGGGTTTCCATTGAACCCACTCAAAGTGTTCGACTTAGCAGGGCATCAGAAAACGGACACACCTGTATAGCGCCTGTTTGTTGTTTTTTTGTTTGCGCCGCGAGGCCGGAAAGGGTGCTTTTTTTGCCTAGCCCTGGCACAGGGCTAACCTGGCAGGTGGTTGCTTGGTTGGTTGGTTGGTTGGTTGGTTGGTTGGTTGGCGCCTCGGTAGGAGAAGGTTTGGGATGGGTTCAGGGAGGTTTAGGATCGGTTTGGGTAGTCCGTTTAGGGTAGGTTAAGCATCCTCGGCATCGTTTTCAACATCCGGCTCAGGCTTGGCTCCGGGTGGGTTCCAAACCTATTGAGAGCGAATTTGGGGGTGGATGTGCTTGAGGTAGATGGTTTAGTGCTGGTTTATGGTGGGGCTTCTTGGGGTTGGTCTCGGGTGGGTTTAGGGCTGGTTTAGGGTGGGTGTAAGATTGGCTTCAGCCATGGTTGTGTTTAAGCTCACTTGGGTGGTTTAAGGTAGGTGGCACCCTACCTTGAACCACCCTAACCCCACTTAACACAACCAAGACCGAAGCCAAGCCTGAGCCAACCTGGAACTAAACCCAGCCAACCAAAGCCTGGTGATGCTGAGGATGTTGAAAACGATGCTGAGGATGTTAAAGCGATGCCAGGCCTGAACCTACCCGAAACGGACTACCCCAAACCCACCCCAAACCTTCGTCCGTTAGTGTCTCCTTTCGTCCACGCCAGGCTGTGCCAGGGTTAGGCTGCCAGGGCTATGCAAAAAAAAGAGAAAACACATCAGCCTGCGAGGCCCTGTACCAGATGTTGGGGGCGGGTGTCAAAGCCGAGAAGGTGGCAAACACAGCGCCACCGGCTGAAACCGCGACGGCGCCTGGATGGAAATCGTGCGAAGGATGTTAGACACAACACTGGACTTGAGTTCATGATTCTGAATGGGAATCATTTTACATGTTTGCTTATTGTGGTTTAGTGGGAAATCCCCACTTAACTGCCAAAAAGTCAACCAAGAGTTAGCAAGGCGGTAGCGCTGACTTGGGCCCCGCAAAGAAACATCGAGAACTTTGGTTCGGATCAGAATCTCCGTTTGGGGCTCCTTTCTTTGTTTGTTCATCTTCGTCGGTGGTGTGGATTGGTTGTTTGCATATGGACCCCTAATTCTGTTGGATAAATGCCAAAACGTGAGCCTAACCACCAATCCAAGCCACACGTGAGAGCTGACTGCTTTCTTTGGCACAAAGGGTTGTCAGGGGGATTGGTTTGGTGGTTTGGACGTTCGCTTCGTTTTTTTCTGTTTATTCAAAAGGGACTAGGTTAGACTGGATACGGGGGGTGTCTTCTTCTGAGACCCTTTTCGGGCTTTCAAAGGAAAGGTTAACGGACATGTGGAGGGTCGAGGTGCCGTCCGTCCAAAGACATCTTGGCCAGTGACTGTCTTATGGCTTTAGGGAAACCGGAAGCCGAACGCACCATTTAGGGGATATGGCCATGAACACTGGGCAACATTTCTCACAAACGCGTGGACACAAACGAACAAAAAAAATGACGCCATGGGGTCGAAAGAGAAGGGCCATAATTCCGGTTGGAGAAAAAAAAATGCGGAAGGCGCCCGCCAGATGAATCTCTAGCCAAAAATTGATGCTCGGCAAAGGCGGTTTTGGGTCTCAGGCACGGAAGCCATCTAAGTTTGGGGCTGGGGCAGGGGCAGGGGATGGGGAAAAAGAGCCCCGTCTGCCTTCTTTCTGGGCTTTAGCAATATGGGTATGGGTCAAAATACACCCACCAGCACCCCGCAGGTCTTAGTCTTTGGTTCCATCAGGGCAACCCATTCTAGGTATGCATTTTTATGACCCACTGCCATCTCAAGGCCTTGTTTGGGCTCCCTCCCTTCCGCCCAGCCATGAAATTTGCAATCTTCCCGTCCCCGAAAAGGACATCGATGGCAATTTTGGGGGTCCCCCCCTAGGGACGGGGATTAAATTTAACGTCATTTGGCCTGGTTTCGGGGTCTGTTGGCGCGATCTTTGGGGCATGCACTGTTAGTCGAGGGACTCGCGGCTTCTTGTGCCTCAGTTGGGATGCATTGGGCAGGGCATTTTAATTGAAAAGGCTTTGCACAGCTGTTGGCTGCTGCCTGTGAAACGGACGTGTGTATTCTTAACAATGGCATCCCCTCTAGGCATGCCTTTGAAGACACGAAGGGAGGAAGTAGCCTCGTTTCATCCTTGATTTCCCTCGTCTACCCCGTTTAATGCTTACCCCTTTTGAGGGGATAGACGAATGAACAACAGCAGCCTTTCGGGGGCACACATGCATATTCATATTGATATACATACATGCTGATATGTGTATATATATACACATGTATATGTATACATATACTTATATACATATGTCCATACAGGAAAAACACATATACATATTAGTACATATACATATATATATATATATTTGCACGAGGGACTGATCCCGACCCGAGGTTCAAAGTGGCGTCGTTATCCCGGACGCGGAAGCCTTCCGGGACTTCCAGAGCCGCCGCCTGGCGGCTCTCGGGGCGGCTCCCGAGGTTGGATCGGGCAAATGGCGGCGCTCCCTCCGGTTTTTTGTGTTCTTCTTCTTTTTTCTTCCTCTTTTGTGGTGCGTTTTGTTTTGATTCTTTTTTTTCTTCTCCATTTTTTTCAGGGGAGCGCGCCTGTTTTGGTTGGCTTGCAAGGGAAGCCAAACGGAAACCAACCAGTTTTGGAGGGGGTCCATCCGTGTTGAAGCACAGACAAATCAAGAGTAAGATCTTGCTGTTTGGAGGGGAGCCTTTCGGAGCTACAAGGAGTTTGGCAAGGACATGCTAGCTCAAGACTAAGAACTTGCCTTGGCAGTGCGAAGTGAATCCCCGAAACTAAAGCCAGCACCACAGCGCTCCCATTCACCCCGCCCCATTCAGTGGTTGCGTTGAGTGCCAGAAAAGAAGTGAAGCGTCGGGTTCACAGGCTTGAGGCTCCAGAAAGACAGCAGCGAAGTCTGGCAAATTGGATGACGTCCGCTCCCCCAGCATTGGCGATGTTGGTATGTTCTCCCTGAGTTCCTCAGTCACTTTTCGGGGTTGGGCCATTTTAGTGACCAGAGAAAACGAGTTTGGGAACTTTGGCCACTCCACTCAGGGGGGGGAGATGGTTTGCCTTTGCAAAGGGATGGTCTTCCTTTGCGGCTGGTTTTTTCTTGGGCAGCCAAAAGAGCTCGAGACAAGGGTCCCGAACTCGGCAAGTGTTTTCTGACGTGGGAAAGGCAGCGGTCGGGTCTGCAGGCTGTTTTTGTGATGCTACCTTCGGCTTCAGGTGGACTCGTCCTATCAATGGGGGGGGGTTCCTCCAAAGTGGTCTGAACCCCGACTGAAAGGAGTTGGACACCGCCCACTCAAGATCAAGAAGGGGTTATCAATCCGGGGATTTCGGAATCCGGAGGACTCTAGTGGAAGGACCCCCTAGATTCGATCTTGATCACTCTCCTGAGGATAAATCTGGAGATGTTGCATTTGTCAGAAAGTGGGAGGATTTGATACAGCTTCCTGCAAAAAAAATCTGGGCTCCCCCTGGGCAAAATCTTGGATGAAACCCTGTGAATCTGACAACAGCCGGCAATTCTAGCAGATCGGCTTCCCTGCAGTATTTGTGTCAACAAACCACCCCCTAAACACGCTTTCCAGATTTGGAAAGAAAGGAGCGCCCCAGTTCCATTGGCCATGTTAGTAGGTGTTCTACCTGATTGAATAGTACGATTATAGTACTCCCCATCGAAAGTCTCGGGTTGATGCGTTCCAAGCCGCTACGAGGCTTTCAAGAGCTCGAGCAATCCTTCAAAGTCCAGGCACCGGGTCGCTGGTGCCTCCCATTCATGTTACAATGTTGCTATGCTAGGTCCCCCAGTAGTGCCCTTTTCTCACCCCTTGCTTGGTTGGGAGGGGTCCCCTACCAAAAAATGACAACAGAAAAAAGGGTACCCTATTCTAACCCCTCTACTGGAGGACCTAGTCATCTTGTTTGGCGGCTTCAAAGCAACTTATAGGCCCAAGATAAGTCTTTGCATCTTTGGGCTGCTTGGCCACAAACATCTCTGCCGTCTTGGATTTCACCTAAATGGACCTGGGAGTTGCTTGAGGACATGGGCGGTTCCAAGCGTACACACATGTCTGTGCAAGGCTTTCCGCCCAGCGGAAAGCCGAATTCCCAGCCTCCCCAGCCGTATTCCCCGAAAGCCCCAGAAAGAACCCCCAGCACCGCGGTCAATTTTTTGCTGCAAAAGGCGGAGGTGCAGCAGTGGCTCTCAGAGAAGATGACCAACTTGATGGGCGAGGTCAAGAGTGAACCCAAGGAGCTTGGGATGCGGGGAGACCTCGCCCTGGCCGAACTGAAAGACCATCCAAAAGACGATTTTGGCGCCCCCAGTTCAGAAACCCAAAACTCACTCAGATCTCCAAATCTTGCTGGCTTTGTTCGGACACCGTCTCCGAAGGCCGCAAGGGCTGGGGAGCGCTATCCGCATTCCAGCTGATTGCACATGGTTCCGCAAGCAGTTTCAGCAGAAGGTCTTGATTTCTTTAAGAGGAGGGATCCGGTTTTTGAACAACTTGTTGATTTGACCCCTTAACCCCTTCAGGTTTATGGGTGACATATTGGGGCGCAACGACGAACACGAACTGATCTCCTGAAAGGAAAACCTCCCAGCAATCAGTCTGCAGGATGGGCTTCTGGGAGGTGTTTCAGGTTGGTCTAAAGGGAAGATAGAAGAATACCCGACAAATCCATGTTGGGGGGTATCCCCCCCAAGCAAAAGAAGCACAAATAAACAATGTTTTGCATTTAGGTGGGGATTCATGTCCTTTTTGGCACATCCGGTTTTGGGCGCATCTGCAAAATGTTCGAAAGTTGTTTCAAGTCATGACTTCCAGTTGACGGGTGAATCACATCTCTGCAGCGCGGCACCCGGATTCATCTCTGGGTCGCATGGTGAAGACGCCAACGACGACGGCGCCTCTGGGTGTGATGATCTTAGGGGACCCCTCCAAAATAGTGGTTGCCTTTTTTGTTTTCCTTTATGCCCCAAAAAGTCAACACAAACAAAACACACCAAACAAAACAACTTATTAACAAAAACCAACAACTCCAAAACAAGACAGGCCCATATGTTTGAGACTCATATACTAAGGCCAATCGCCCAGAGCATGTTTACGTGGCGAGGCGCAGCTTAAGTGAGGCTCCCTGCGCTGGTTTCACCCGATCTCACCGCCTCAGCTGACCGCCTCAGCTAAATGAAACCTGAAACGTCCAACATGGCTCTGAGTTGTCAAGTGGACTTTTTAAAAGAGGTCGGTGGACAATCCCCACCTAACTAGGTCCCCCAGCAGTGCCCTTTTACCCCTTTTGGGGGGAGGGTTTCCCTACTAAAATAGACAAAACTGAAAAAAGAAACGGTACCCTTATTTTAACCTCTCAAATCTGGAGGACCAAGTATATGCCAAAGGCCCCCCCCCCCACTGGAAAAGAGCTGCCCTGAGGACTTAGGCATGTTCGAGGCCCATGCTTCGGGCAATCCAGCCACTGAGGAGACGCCAGTTCCGTGTGAGCCACGACCTCAAGAACCGGCGTCTCCCTGGCAAAGAGGAGCGCACGAGAACCGAAGGTCACATTCTGCCTTTGGGAGGGAAGAGAGGGGGAGCATTAACCCCGGGGTGAGCCCTAATGGGAAACAACTGATTTTGACCGTGGCTCAACTTCTCTGACATCTGAGCTGCATCGTTGGCTCTGGCATCACATGGATACCTTATGGCTGTGTGTTGGTTTGGGGGAGCCCACACAAATTGTGGTTGTCCTTCAGGTGTCAGTTTAAGACCGCGCCAAAAGGGTGCCCTCAAAAAAAGGACAGGCCCGTATCCCCTTCACGTGCTTGAATTCAACGACTCAGAGCCCCGGAAAGCAACTCTCGCCCTCGATTCCTTTGTGAAGCATGAACTCGACAGCGTGAAAGGGCTTCATGTTCCGCTGAGTTCTCTCTGGCCGTAGTGAACAGGAAGCTTTTCTCCCAACCACTGGGCTCCAAATTCCAACCAAGACTGGAGGCTGATTTGTCCTGAAAAACACACCAAGCCAAGACCCTCGGGAATGAACCCGGAGCACACCAGATCGGTGGCTTTTTGGTTGGAATTGCCCGGCTCAAACCCAGGAGTTCCATAGATTTAAGAAGGGAAGCCCTGAATGCAAGTCTACTTCGATCAAACGGAGTGGTAGGAGCAATTCATTAGATTGGACATCGCTTTTTTGGGGGTGTCTCTTTTTTGTGGGAATACCATTGTTTGTGGTTTCGAAGGGAAATTTAAAGGAACACCACAATTTTGTTGGGGTCCGGCAAAAAACAGACATACCCATTTCGGCAATCCAAACATGGAATCCTAATATAGTCATATAAATCAGGAGTTGCTCAATTTTCCGTTTTAGACCTACAAAAGTGACAGTTTCATCGGACACCACCAGTAATTTGAAGCTTTTGACATGGACAATTGACCTTGTGGAGTCGTTAATGGGGGGGTGGTCCAACGGGGGAGATTCCCTCAGGCTGCCTAAGGAACTCTGGGGAACAAAGAACCTTTAGGACCCCGAAAGAGGCCCTCCACTACCGTACCTACGTCACACGCAAGAAGGCGTACACCTTTCTTGATCTGAAAGGGGAGGCAGGCAAAAAGCCAGTTGAGAGGCAGGGCTGCTAGCACGGCCATTTCCACATTTTCCCGGATGGGATTCCACAATGACCGCTGTGAATTATTTCAGGACCCGCAGTGACGGGAGCGCCCCGGCGCTTTTCCCAGCCCTCGCTGCCGGTCTCAGTGCCTTTTGCACGCGCCAAGGCACAGGAGACAGCCCAGGGTGCTTGAGACAGTGGTGACGATTTTGTCGAAAAAACTATTTTTGGGGGTGGGCAATAGGGAAACCAATACGAAACCACCCCTGTTTTGTGAACTTATGCTCAGTTGCCCAGATTTTGGGGGTGGGTGCAATAGGGAAACCAAAATGAAGCCATGGAAGCCTTCACCATCAACTACCGACAAAGGAGGAGTTTTTTCCCCATTGCAGCTGGAGGTGCTGGCTTATCTTCGCGAACTCTCACTGAAGGGGTGTCGATGTCATTGGGGAAATGAATATTGACCACGGCTCTTTTTTTTTGGGTCGCTTGCCAGGTTCCAAACATGTTTTCTCAGTCTTTGGGATTGACCTCAGTGACCCCTTGTTATTTTCTTCCAGCATTGACAACATATGGGTGTTTCAACAAGGAAAAGCCAACAACATGGTTGGTGGACATGACTCAGGGCCCGAATTTGATGCTCACCACTTCAGGTCCGGGACACATGAAGAAAAAGAGGCCTGGGTGGCATCCCCAATCCGCCCGGAAATGCCTGGAGCCCTCTGAAACCCTCCCCCCAAACCACCCCAGAGCTGACCGTTCGGGCAAAGACCCCATAGCTTTCAGCTGGGGGCCCACCCACGACTTGATGGGGTACCCAGATGGGGAGGAAATGGATTTGACTTTGATTTCGCATAGGGAAAACACATCTTTTGTTTTCATTCCCAGGGTGCTGATCGAGGCACGCAGAAAGGCCTTGCTGGATGGCTGGTGTTTGGTATGTCACGTGCAAAGGTGTCGTTGATCGGGACTTTTTTTTCCAGATGTTGAACTTGTTGGATAGAGCTTCGCACGAGGGGAGGTGGGTGTGGACAGTTCTGAATGAAAGTTTCCTGGGGAGTGGATTGATGACAGGAGCGCTGTTCTCATTTGACCGAGGTGTTTGGTATCAACTGTTTGCCACGAGATTGAGCCTTCGACAAGTGACAAGTTCTGCGAGTTGTGCATCTGGAAGATCGCATGGTAAGGTCGACGTGCACTCAAATGGGGCATTGGCGGCAGCAACCTTAGGGTTTGATTCCTTTTCCATTCTTCTCAGCCCTCGTTCTTTTCAAAACCAGCTGTTTCACCTGGGCTTTTGGTTTCCTGAAACTCCAAGCCTCGGGTGCTGGCCCCTGGCCAGGAGTGCATCAAGACGAATCGGCTCGACACTGGGATGCAGAACAAGCTCTATGTTTCTCCCCGGCCCAATTGCGCAAAAGCGGTTCACGTGTCACCGGTCTTGCGCCGTTACGACGCGACCAGCGCTCGGGCTTAGCGGGGCTTAGGCGGATGCGCCTTTCGGCTTTTCGGCTCTCCGAAGCCTCGCAGGTGTCCTTGCTTGTATTGCTGGGGGCCTTATTTTCGCCAGTGCATGTATCAGCTGCAAAGCAAAGGATACGGCACTTGGCTTTGTTTCGTTTAAGATGTTGTTCCTTCTTTGCCTTTTCCTGCCGGAACGTGACGACGCGTCCTGCCATCTTGCAAAGAGAGATTCGGGCAAATGATTGGCAATGTGTTCTTGAATGTGAGGATGGAACAGCCAGCTTTTTGTCGCATTGTGCTCCGCGATCTAAAACCTCGAGATTCTGGTTTCTTTGCCCGTCACACCTTACATCGGGCAATGTTAGAGTGGCATCTTCGGCCTGACGGCCATTTCCTTTGGCCGCACGGCCGACTTGAAATGGCGCGTCGCTGGCCCGCTGGCCCACCGCACGGCCGCGAGCAGAGCGTGAAGCATCTGCCGGGAAGGGCGGCGGGACAAAAACGGAGCTGCCGGCAGCCTGCTGTTTTTTGTTTGCTTCTACCGCCCTCAAGGCTTTCTGGTCAGTAATTACCTTGGGATTTTGAATCATGTGAGCAGTTTTAGCTTGAAAGCTGGTGAGTTGAAAGGGGGGAAAGTAGCAAGTAAGACACATCTTGCATCTACCGGCGCTTGGGTATCGTTGATGATCCCAGCTTGTGCGCAATTCAGTTTCCAGTGGTTCCGTCATGAGATACGAGAAGCAAAAATGCCAGCGGTTAATATTATCGGCGGGGTCACGGACACGTGCGAGCCGTTGCTTGTGATCGGTGTAATTTTGCCCTCTTAACAATCATGGAAATGGATAGTGGCGGTTCCCCAAAAGGAGTGTAGTCTTCCGAAACCCCTCCGATCGTCAGCTTCCATCATTGGAGGGTAACAGTGGTTCTCGCTGCCAAATTTTCAGTTTTAGAGAGGTAGCCAGGACATAGGTCTGCAATGCCACCTCTGTTTGTAAGAGCATCTGACAACAACAACAACAACAACAACCACAACAACAACAACAACAACAACAACAACAACAACAACAACAACAACAACAACAACAACAACAACCTGTTGTGTGCCAGTCACCAGTCAAGAGCAACAACAGTTCTTACAATTCTATGGTTTTTGCAGCCGGCAGCCAACATCAGACATGTCTTGGGTGTGTCTAAGGTGGAATCCCACCCCCAAAACGTGTCGGCAGTTTTGATCGTTGTTTTTATCAGGGCTCCTTAAAAGATACATTTTGCCCAATTGAAACATGGCTTTTTCCACAAACAATAAAGGGAACCACCATTTACAAGGCAATGTTCAGGTGTATAATGCATCCGGATCCCTGTTTATCCTTGAAACCCACCCAGCAAGCGGTACCCTCAACAAGAGACACACTCGATTCTGCTGCGACATGAGCTTGCCATGGAGGCGGGAGGATCCCCGGTCGGGACAATCTTGATGTCTTTGTGGCAGGTTTTCATGGTGACTGCTATTGGGTTGGCTCTTTAGACTTTGACTTTTTAGGGAATCAACTGGTTTTCCACTAAACTCACAAACAGTTAACCTTTTGCAGAAGGATCAACAGCAACCAAGTCTGTGAAACTTGCGCTCCTTGAGCACTTTCAAGAGAATTTAAGCCTGCCACTTGGAGAATTCGGACCCCTTGCGTGGCATAGCTTACTGTGCAATGCCTTTGCCGACAGTTCGAAGCACTGAGTTTTGGTTCGGGTCAGGAACGAAACCGCCAGCAAGGCCTTCGCAAGCGAGAGAAACCTGGACGATGCGTTCGGAAAGCAAAGGCTAGTGTGGCTGTACAGGTCGGATGTAGAACCATGTGGATTTGATACCGTGAGCTGAGCAGCCCGACCCAAAGGGACTGGCTGCTACCCCCAGCAATACAACTAAGCATGCAAGCAAGCATGCATGCGCATGCAAGCAATCAAGCTCGCAATCATGCAAGTGTCCATGCATGCAAGCACGCATCCATGCATGCAAGCAAACATGCATGCCGGCAAGCATCCATGCATGCAAGCAAGCATCTATGCGTGCAAGCAAGCATGCATGCATGCATGCAGGCAAGCATTCGCACATACATAGGCAAGCGATGCAAACATGCAAACATGCAAGCATGCGTGTATGCGCGCAAGCATCCATGCAGCAAGCAATCATGCATGTATGCAATCAAGAGTCCATGCATGCAAGCAAGAAGCAAGCAATCAAGCAATCATGCATGCAAGCAATCATCCATGCATGCAAGCAAGAAAGCATGCAGGCAGGCAGGCAAGCAAGCATGCAGCTATGCATGCACGCATGCAAGCATGCAAGCAGCCGTCAAGCAAGCCGTCAAGCAAGCAGCAATGCAGGCAAGTGAATGGATAAACACGCCAGCATCCAACCAGCATCCGTCCCTGCGAAGTTAGCTGAAACCATTTGACCCCGCAGGGGTTGGCGCTGCTGGAAGAGCAGTTTCGGCATCCCGGGCATGAGGCCGGAGCTTACCTAAAGGGTGGGCGAAATCTGGGTGTGGTTGTCAAACATAGGGTAACCCCAAAATGGGTTGCCCGGGTACATAAAAACATGAACTAAAACCTGCGGTCCATATCCTGGTGGGTTAATTTTGAGGCATACACATATGGCTGTGGCTCAAAAAACCGGTACCAAATTGGAACCTGGTAAGTGGAAACATGGACCAAAACCTGCGTAACCCCTCCTGTTTAATTTTGAGCCCCAGCCATATGGAACAGAAGCTGAACATCAAGCCCTTGCCCAAGTTTCTTTGGGGCTGTGCTGCCTCTGCCGGTTGCCACCTCGTGTGGGTATTCCAGTTGAGCGGGTGCGATTTTGTGGCTTAGGGACACAATGATTTTTTTCAACGGTCAATGCTGGTCCCAATTTAACGCAGAACGCAGATGCCGTGTAGTGTTTGGGGACATCCCTTTGGGGGGAAGCCCCTTTTGTGGGGTGAATGAGGAAACTCCTTTTATGGACACCCCCTTGGTCTAGGTTCTGCCCAAATCCGAGGCTTTGGATCCCGCACGGGGCCCGATTTTCTCCGCCCATTTGGGGGTTGATCTGATTCCGTGCAAACTTCGAAAGGGCCAGAAAAGGTCCCCGGGTGCCCCTTGTAAGGACATGGGGGTGGATCGATATTCCGCTTCCAAATGACCATGTGTAAATGGTCACGTTTAGTGGGGGAAGTCATTTTCTTGAAGGTTGCATGATGGTCATCCCACGTAAAGGACCTTTTGATCAAACGCCAATTTGCTACATGATGCCACACGATGCATGGGGTCAATCACCGAATTTTCGTGTAGGGATGTCAAGATCAGGCGCCTACTTGTCACAGACGTTAACGACAAACAACTAGAAAACCATCCGTATGGTTTGAAGCAAATTCCAAGCAGCCCAAGTTCCCAATCTTATGTCTTTCCATCGCCTCGCCAATTAGCCCGGGAATATAGGTGGATTAAGGGATTGCTCTTGTTTCCCATCCAAGCTTCTCCAGCATATGCTTACTCCCCGAGTTCACCGACTTTAAGCTTTTTAGGAAGACCATGTTAGTGCTAAAAATAAAGTGTAGACTTTTTGGGGGGGAGTTGAGGATGAATGCAGCGCTTGGACTGTTCTCTAAGCCGGAAAGGACGGACCCATCCAATCGTCACTTTCATATCCTTCTCTTATTTGTTTACCTATTAATATGGACGGCTTTGAGAGGGCAGCCACACAAAAAACGGGTCTCCCAATTTTGATACGTGCCAATATACACCTTTTCTCACTGTTGTTGGCTGTTTTGTTCTGTTCATTTTCGGTAGGGGGTGTTGCTACCATACCAACGGTTGGACAGTTTTTACCATCTTCAAAGCTCAGACGGTCCGATGGGTTTTGGTCGTGCGAGCGCCACGCGAGGAGAGCCGGTGCCCTGCTCGCACCATACCGTGGGATCAGAGCCTTGCTGAGCTGACGCACGCCACCAGGCGATCGCGTTCGGGTCGAATCCGGGAGCGTCTCAAAATGGGTGTGGGTCCAAGAAATGGGTACGCAAAACTTGGTGGCAAGCCCAGCCATCCGGTTTCTTAGTCTTTTAGATTCTTTTAGTGTTTAGTGGCAGTTTCCATTTCACCCACTAAAAGATAGTCATTTTTAGCGGGGGATCTGAGGGCAGCCCAGAAAAAATGGGACTAAAACCTGCGATTTTGACCCAAATGGGAGGCTCCAGCATCTTATTCCCCAGCTCAGAGCCATGGAATCGATAGGCCCAAATAGGCGGTGGTTTGGGGTGGTTTGGGGCAGTTTCCGGGGCGGTTTGGGATACCAGCGAAGCTTAATTTGTGGTAATTACTTGATAATCGACATGTTCGAGAAAGGTCATTTGGCATTCGGAGTCAAACATATGGGTATGGGTCAAAATTAAGTCACCCGGGGACCGCAGGTTTTACTCTACTTGTCCATTTGCCAGGGTCCCATGTTGGGTACCTATTTTGACCCACAGCCATATGTTTGGTCAACATGTCCTGTCTGTGGTTCATTTGAGATAGACATTAGACAACTCACTAAATTTCAGCCACCAAGGACAGAGCAGTTTTGCAGGTTGACATGTGTGGTTTAGACTACCCTTCCTCCCACCAACATGGCGCTTGTGGGGAGGTACCTGGAAGATGAATTTCCTCTTGAAGGGACCAATTCCCTGTCAGGTGCCATGTTAGTGGGAGTGAGGGTAACTTTTCCTGAAGGGAATGGGAACACCACCCAAAGTGGAAAACCCCTTTGGCGAACCCAGGGATGACATGTCGGCCATAGTGAAAACATGTTTTTTTGCTGGATTCTTAAGCTAGTCGGGTTGGCTATTGTGCCCCAGAAAGGTGTGACCATGGCATAGCGCAAGATCAGGCCCTTCGGGATGACCAGGCAAAGCCTTTCCAAATAGACTTTCCCACATGCGAAGTTTGTCCTGTAGAATATTGGTCCACCGTGACTTTGTTTTTGTGTTTTACCTTCTGTTACCAAGCGCATGGTTAGCCCCCTTCATTCCGGGCTCTATAGCGTTGACAATCCCTGGAGCTGACATGGTTTGGTTGGTGGTTCGAGGGAACGCCAAGAGGAAACCCGCCAGTTTACGAGAAGGCTCTTGGCAAAGAAGATGTAAGTATTCTACAGAAGATGTAACTTGGAAAGGGACACTTACATTTCCACACTTTCCAGGGGGGTTCTTATTTTAATTCATGGCCATGCAAATGTTCTTTGTCCTGTGCCTGGCTCATTGGGCGCCCGTGTCCGTGTTGGCCAGGACTTCATACACAAAAAAACACATACACACGACGCGGATCCAAAGGTCATTCCCACATCTACTTGGACTTGAAAATGGCAGGTGTTCTCGTAAAATATCTTCTTTGTCGTGTGGAAATGTAAGTGTCCCTTTCCAAGTTACATCTTCTGTAGAATACTTACATCTTCTTTGCCAAGAGCCTTCTCGTAAACTGGCGGGTTTCCTCTTGGCTCGAACCACCAACCAAACCATGTCAGCTCCAGGGATTGTCAACGCTATAGAGCCCGGAATGAAGGGGGCTAACCATGCGCTTGGTAACAGAAGGAAAAACACAAAAACGAAGTCACGGTGGATCACTATTCTACAGGACAAACTTCGCATGTGGGAAAGTCTATTTGGAAAGGCTTTCCCTGGTCATCCCGAAGGGCCTGATCTTGCGCTATGCCATGGTCACACCTTTCTGGGGCACAATAGCCAACCCGACTAGCTTAAGAATCCAGCAAAAAAACATGTTTTCACTATGGCCGACATGTCATCCCTGGGTTCGCCAAAGGGCTTTTCCATTTTGGGTGGTGTTCCCATTCCCTTCAGGAAAAGTTACCCTCACTCCCACTAACATGGCACCTGACAGGGAATTGGTCCCCTCAAGAGGAAATTCATCTTCCAGGTACCTCCCCACAAGCGCCATGTTAGTGGGAGGAAGGGTAGTCTAAACCACACATGTCAACCTGCAAAACTGCTCTGTCCTTGGTGGCTGAAGTTTAGTGAGTTGTCTAATGTCTATCTCAAATGAACCACAGACAGGACATGTTGACCAAACATATGGCTGTGGGTCAAAAGAGGTACCCAACATGGGACCCTGGCAAATGGACAAGTAGAGTAGAACCTGCGGTCCCCGGGTGACTTAATTTTGACCCATACCCATATGTTTGACTCCGAATGCCAAATGACCTTTCTCGAACATGTCGATTATCAAGTAATTACCACAAATTAAGCTTCGCTGGTATCCCAAACCGCCCCGGAAACTGCCCCAAACCACCCCAAACCACCGCCTATTTGGGCCTATCGATTCCATGGCTCTGAGCTGGGGAATAAGATGCTGGAGCCTCCCATTTGGGTCAAAATCGCAGGATTTACTCACATTTTTTCTGACATACATAGCATGCACAGCATACATAACAAGCACACATGCATAAAATAAAGTTCACATACCAACCATTACGTACGTGCGTGCGTGCGTACGTACATACATACATACATACATACCTACATACATACACACACATACATATACACACATGCCTACATTACATTACAGTACATTACACTACATTTCATACACACATGCATTACATACATACACATGCATATATTCATTACACTACATTACATTACATGACATTGCATTGCATTAAATTACAATACGATACAATACATACATACATTACATACACACACATACATTACATTACACTACATCACATTACTTTAAATGCATCAAACGAACGTACATGCATACATACGTGCATACATACATTACATCCATACATCCATACATCCATACATCCATACATCCATACATCCATACATACATACATACATACATACATATATTACATCCATACATCCATACATCCATACATCCATACATCCATACATCCATACATCCATACATACATACATACATATATACATATACATACATTACATGCATTACATACAGCCCATACATGACATACATTACATACATACAGTACATACATTACATTCATCACATACAGCACATACATACAGTACATCCATACACATACATCACATACATTGCATACATTACATACATTGCATACGCAACGTGCATTACACACATTACATAGGTTGCATACATTACACACACAGTACACACTGTACATACACTACATACACTACATACATTCAATGCATTGCATACGTCGCATACACTACATACATTACATACATTACATACATTGCATACATTACGCACATTACACACATTACATACATTATAACATACATTACATACATTACATACATTGCATACACATACGCACATACGCACATACACACATACACACATACATACATACACACACACACATACATACATACATACATACATACATACATACATACATACATACATACACACGTACATACATACATACATACATACATACATACATACATACATACATACATACATACATACATACATACATACATACATACATACATACATACACACACACATACATACATACATACATACATACATACACACACATACATACGCACACACACATGCATACATACATACAGACATACAGACATACAGACATACAGACATACAGACATACATACATACATACATACATACATACATACATATACATACATACATACATACATACATGCATGCATGCATGCATGCATACATACATACATACATACATACATCCTCCTTCCATCCATCCGTACACACATACATGCATGCCTACATACCTACATGCTACATACGTGCCTACCTGCGTACCTGCATACCGACATACACACATACCTACACACACATAACACAACGTAATATTGCAAACCATGACGTAACACACCCTGTCACAACATAGCATGATATAGCAGAAACATAACATAGAGAACACAACAGAGCAGAGCACGACATCACGTTGCCTAGCATTACAGTACATGACTTGCATATGCACATGACACATGACATGACGTGACATGACGTACATACGTACCTATACATGCGTGCATGCATACACATGAACACCTTCAGACATGATATAATGTAGCATATCACAACACAACACAACATAACATGCCATTGCATAACATAACACGACATGTATACACACATACACACACATACACGCTCACACACACACACACACATACGCATACATACACACAACCCCCCTAAACCAACACACAACACGCATAAACATCTATTTTTCCCCAACAGCTGAAAGCTTTTGGGTCTCAGCCTAGATAGGCTCCGGGGTGGTTCTGGGCGGCCCTGAGGTAAGGTTCCACGAGGGTTCCACCAGGGTTCCACCAGGGTTCCACGAGGTTCTGCAAGGGCTGCGGGGTGGTGGGAGCACTGAACAGAGCACCGCATGCTGTTGGGGATATCACCTGAGCTTATTCATGTATCCGCACTCATTTAATTCGGGGACTCAAGGAAGCCTGCTTGAACCAGCGGTTCCGTTTCCGGTTGCTGGCAGCTCGAAACCCGCCCATAGCCAACCCCAAACCCTAAAGAAACACCTCCTCAAAAAACTCTACCCCTGGAATGGGAGTAAATTGAAAGTGAACCTCTGCAATCAAAACGAGGCAGCTAGACCCGCCCGATCCGTTCCATGTTCGCACCGTCCGCGGTGAGCTGGCCGAACAGAAGCTCCCGAAAGGCGGAATATGGCTGAGATGGCCGTGTTTTGGTTGAAGGTGCCCTTGTCAGGCTGGTTAGAAAGCAAATTTAAAAGGAAAGCCACCATGCTTGGGGTACCCCAACTAGGTCCCCCAGAAGTGCCCTTCTACCAACTTTTTTGGGGGAGGGTTCCCCTACGAAAAGAGACTACAGCAAAAAGGGGTACTCTTATTCTAACCTCTGTACTGGAGGACCTAGGAAAGCAAACCAAAAGAAAACCCAATTTTTGTTGTATAGCTTTGTATTGTCCCGGCTAGCGTGTGGCCGAGCGGTTTCATGGCTGCTCCACGTCCTTCCGTTCGCTGTTGTTAAGGGAATCCATTTTTGGCTGTGGCTCAAAAAACCGGTACCAAAATGGGTTGCCCTGGTAAGTGGAAACACGCACCAAAACCTGCGTGAGCCTAGCTCTTTAATTTTGAGCCACTGCCATATCCCCATTTTCTCCAGGGGACAGAAGCAATGGAAGTTATTATTCAGGATTTCCGAGCCAGTTCCCTTTAAAAAGAACCTCCCAAAGTTCTGCAAAGCTCGTTTGTGCAATTGTTTCCTCTTGTTTAAGTCTTTCTGCTTGTGTTTAAAGGAATCTACAGCACTGGACATATTGCCTCATTTTCTCCAGATGAAGGGACCGCAAAGGACAGGCACCCCTCAAGTATTGATTGTTTGCATTGGTGGTTTGGGATTTGAATCCTTGGTGTTGAGGGTAAATGGGAAACAACCCCTCCTTAACCACCAAACCACCGGGCTCCAAACCACTGAAAAGCGAGGGAAGCCTTGTTAAACCAGGTAGAATCACCTCCAAACCTGGTCCTTGTGAGGTTTGGGGCAGTCTTTGTCTGACTCCAAATCCAAAAAGGGGAAGCTGAAAGCTGAGTGTTGCCAGGGTTTCCTTTTGAAAGCATGTCAAGGTTGCAATTGTTTCTTGCTTAGTCTCAGCGGGGTCCTGCGTTTCCCACTTGAGTTCTAACAGACCACAGGTAGGTTCCTAGTGGGCGATGTCTTGCTTTAGATGACTGGCTGGCTGGCTGGCTGGCCTCAGACGTCTTTGTCTAGGTCCCCCCGCTAGGTGCCCGACCTCTCACCCAACTTTTTTGGTTGGGAGGGTTCCCCTACTAGACTACAGAAAAAAGTTGGTACCCTTATTCTAATCTCTCTACTGGAGGCCTAGATTGTGAATATCATGTATCAAGACAATATGAACATACACACACCTTGGATTCACTTGAGGCCTGTGGTTTGGGTCTAGTGCAAGACATGGTTGAGAGGGTTTCCCTTTAAAGCGTGTCGATCCGTTTCCCTTCAGATCCTCAGACAAAAGATCCGAAAACCGGTCGGTCCCGATCCCTTGGGGGCTCCGGACGCCAGGTCCGGCATCCCGGCGGAGGTGAAGGCGGCCTGGGCCAAGGCGAAGCTGCGGGCGGACTGCGGGATCTTGGGGCAGCGCCACGCCTGGGCGGCGCTGGACCATACCCTGCGGCCTTGAGTGGAGTTTGGCTCGGGTTTGGGGGTTTGGTTTGCGGCTTTGGTTTGCAGCTTTGTTGGTTGGGTTGGGTTGGGTTGGGTTGGGTTGGGTTGGGTTGGGTTGGGTTGGGTTGGGTTGGGTGGGGTGGGGTTGGGTTGGGTTGGGTTGGGTTGGGTTGGGTTGGGTTGGGTTGGGTTGGGTTGGGTTGGGTTGGGTGGGGTGGGGTTTGGGTTGGGTTGTTGGGTTGGGTTGGGTTGGGTTGGGTTGGGTTGGGTTGGGTGGGGTGGGGTTGGGTTGGGTTGGGTTGGGTTGGGTTGGGTTGGGTTGGGTTGGGTTGGGTTGGGTTGGGTTGGGTGGGGTGGGGTTGGGTTGGGTTAGGTTGGGTTGGGTTGGGTTGAGTTGGGTTGGGTTGGGTTGGGTTGGGTGGGGTGGGGTTGGGTTGGGTTGGGTTGGGTTGGGTTGGGTTGGGTTGGGTTGGGTTGGGTTGGGTTGGGTTGGGGGGGGGTGGGGTGGGGTGGGTTGGGTTGGGTTGGGTTGGGTTGGGTTGGGTGGGGTGGGGTTGGGTTGGGTTGGGTTGGGTTGGGTTGGGTTGGGTTGGGTTGGGTTGGGTTGGGTTGGGTTGGGTTGGGTGGGGTGGGGTGGGGTTGGGTTGGGTTGGGTTGGGTTGGGTTGGGTTGGGTTGGGTGGGGTGGGGTTGGGTTGGGTTGGGTTGGGTTGGTTGGTTGGTTGGTTGAACACACCCCCACGGAGAAGTGGAGTGGCCATGGGGTTTTGGGTGTCGCCCTAACCGGAGCACAGGGACTCCTTCTTGTAACTTCCTCTTGTTTCCCACTCCCGGAGGTCCGGGACTCAGACTTGAGTTTCCTCACTTGCCCAAAGCCGACCTTTTGACCTTTTGGTTTTCCCATTTTGGTCCATTTTTAGTAAAGATCCCAAAAGGTTAACCTTTTATTTCCAGGTCTTTTGGGCAAGTGAGTTTCACTTTTTGGGGAAACTTACCATTTTGGTGGGCTTGGTGAAACGATTCGAGGGCAATTCCTGGTTTACCTGGTTCAAGCATCTATCAGGAAAGAATTTGGTATTTGGAGTCAGGGCTGGAAAGGAACAACTGTTTTTGTTTGGTTCCCTAGTTGATTTGATGCTTATGACCAACTTCCGGGTGATGCTTGAAGGGAAACAAGTAAAACCAACCAATTGTAGGGGTTCCAAACCCAATTTTGAAGGAAACAGATGCCATTGGGGTTGTCTCAAGAATGGGAACCCTCTAAACAGTGTTGGGTTTCCTTTTGGTTCCCTCAAACCCCCCCCAAAACTGGGTACCTACAAAACAGGCACATCCGTTTCTGCTTGTATGGCTTCGACCGATTCGGGGGTGAAACGAGGGAAAAACCCCTGGATGGTTATGCCACCCCCAGCCCAGACTTCCATCCAGAGATGCGCATCGGGGGGGGTGCGTTGAACCGGGACGCGACGACTAAAGCTCGGGGGCTTGCCAAAAAAAAAAAGACCATCCAGAGATGCACATTGGGGGGTGCGTTGAACCGGGACGCGACGAGTAAAGCTCGGGGGCTTGCAAAAAACAACACAAAACACCCCAACCTCCCCTTTAAAATCAACGACCTTTGGTTAGAGCACCACTTTAGGCCTTAGATACGGGAACCATCCGTTAAAGCAAGACATCCTCATTGCCTTGCCTTCTGCTTGTCTCATGCACCCCTTCCACAGGGCGTGGGATTGAACATCGGCCCGTGCTTTGGTGAGTCTCGCTTATCGGTGATGTTTCTCTATTTGGTTGCCAGGAGCCAAAAAACTTTTGGTTGCCAGGAGCCAAAAAAACACAGGTTTTTTTTGCCCTCTTACAACTTCTTGGGTTGAAGTTCATTTCGGGGTAAACAAGTTGTGGATTGCCTTGCGAGGGGGGAGAAGGGATCAAAGGAAGTTGAGGAGACTATATGGGTGTGGCTCAAATTTCAAGAGCCACGGTTCCGCGGATTTCGTCTTTGTTTCCATTTACCTAGGGCAACCCATGTTGGGTACCCATTTTTGACCCACAGCCACAATTGATTTCGCATTTGGATGAAAACCGGGCGTGCGAAACATCTTTCGGCGCCTTCCGGCGACCCTGAAAACACGTCGCGCTGGCCTGGGAAGCAAATGGCGTCTCCTTGCGGAGCTGGAGGTCCTTTCAAAATCAAGTTGCACAACTCACTTCCTGAGTTCATGAACTTTAAACTTTTTGGGAAGACCATTTTGGCGGTAGATTTGAAGTTTAGACTTTTTTTGGGCCATCCACTCAGGCAGTGAGACAAGAATCTGGTTTTCCATTTTCCCATTTTGATGTGGGAATCCACCAAAAAGGTCTTTCCATGTTTGTCCTTTGAGAATTCACCGCCAAAAAGGTCTGGCGCCCGTTGTTTTGTTTACATCCGTGGAGGTTTTTCAACGTCTGAGGTATCTCTGGGACTACCACGAGCCCAGCGGGGTGCATACCGTACCATCGGACAGCGCCATCATCTCGGTGGCCTTGTGCCCGGCCAAGTCCAGCCTCGCCCAGCTGAGCTACCTGCTGGCCGCTCAACCGAACACAATCCGTCCAAAAAGGACAGGAGCGGGATTTTTTTTTTGCAGGTACCTGGACCCGAAAAAGAACTACCCGTTAAAAAAGGGGGAAGGATCGAAGTCACCGACCCGAACTTTTTGGGGCAAGAACCGATGTTTAGTGGGATTGTGGAGGGTCCAGGTGCAAGTTTGGGAGGTATGGATGCGGGAAAAATATGCGATGTGTTTTTCAGCTTGCGTGGCGGTCATCACAAAAAATGAAAACAGGCATTCTCACTCCCGTTCCGTTCGGATTCTAGGCCACTCAGGAAGTGAGGGAAGAGCTAGACCCCTTCTTAACACCCCCAAGCCCCACACCCTAAACCCTAAACCGTGGGCTCTTGGACTTAGGGTTTGGGGTTTGGGCTTTTGGGCTAGGCTTTTGGACTCGGGGCTCGGGGTTTTGAGGACTTAGGGCTTGGGTTCTGGGCTTGTGGGCTTAGGGCTTAGGGTTTTGGTAAGGAAAAGCTTGCAAGGCGGTATTATCTCAGTTGTTCAGTGGCTCCCTGTTTCCCCCTTTTTTTTGGTGGCTGCCCCACTAAAATGGTCTTCCCAAAAAAGGGTTCCCTTTTTTTCCAGGGTCACTGAACAACTGAGTTATATACCCCTTATAGAAGTTATCCGAGCAGACGAGCGCGTTAATTCCGCATGAACCCCCCGTTTAGTCGGAATCCGGTGACCCCTAACATTGTGAATTCGGGGTTTCAATAAGCATTAGCTACCAGAATGGCTCCAAAAGAACCCTTCAATCCGAAACCCGAACTTGGCGGTTCGCAGCTGTCCGGTTCAGGGTTTTAGTGGGGGTGTACGTTTGTCCCTCAAGTTAAAGCCGGGGATCCAGCTAAGAAGGTTCTAAGAAGTGAGCGGGCCAGATTCCTCCCCTGAGGCCGGAGGGACCTTTGCAAATTGAACGAGTTAGAATTGGTCGGGCCTATGGCTGCTTATCCCAACATGGAGCCTGCCCTTTGGTTGGTTTCTGGCCATCTGTGAGGAACCAAAAGAGAACCCTTGACTTTGACACATATCCTCATAAACCTTTATAACCATGTGGGGTCCCGACCCAAAAGTCAGCTGGGGTTTTGGGCACAATGGCGAATATCCCAATCCCCACGGCGTTTCTCTACTGGGTTGCTCCGACATTTCAATTTCGGCGAGCGCTCCATCTGTGTGTCTTGTAGCTATTTTTTGTTTGGTACTGTCACTGTGCAAGTCTAGCACAGTTTGGCTGCTGCTTCTTTGCCAGTTGGTCGGAAGGGAGCCGTTTCGGGGCTGGGGGTATCCAAATTTGCCTAAAAAGGGGCCTCAGAAGAAGTTACCCCTACAGCAGCCCGGACCCAGCCCCCAAACCCAAGCACCCTTTCAGGACTCAACATTCCCGCAGAAAATAAGCAGTAAAACCAACATGGATTAGCCCTCAACACACCTTGAACCCGCATTCACCCTGAGTCGACAGGGAACCGTAAATCAACCACATGACCAAGCACTGGCCAACCCACCTCAACAACCCCACACCCCACAACATCAAGCCCGCCTTAAAGGAGCCGGACAAAATCTGGGCACGCACATCAAATGACTTACGGTGATGCCTCAAGGAATTCTGGGCATTGTGATTCCCGCAGATACGTTTTTGGTTGGTCAAAGACCATTACTGTTTGCGCATGACTTCCAATTCCACCAGATGGCACCATTCCTGGTAGATGTGGGCAAGTAAAGGGGATGGCCAAACCATGAGGGAATGCCACCTTGCCCTGGGTGGCGACCCGAGGAACTGGTTTTGGGGGCATTTGCCCTTGTTTGAAGCCAGAATCCGACTTTGGTCAATCGGGGCACATCAAGGATCGAGGTGAACACACCAAGAGAACCACCAGTCCTTAAATCTATTCATTGACATCCCATGGAAAAGCTGCTTTTGCTTGGTTTTACTCCCCTACAAATTAACGGAAGGAACCCAACCAGGTGGTCACCTTGCTCTACAAAGCAGGGCTTTTGGGGTCCCATATAGGAAAGGGAAACAACCACGAGGACGCAACCATTTCAGGGGATCGATTCCTATTTTGAGAAACCGCCACATGAGCAGTGCCCAAAACGCTTCTTGTTCATGTAGGCGGCTCTGGTTGCAGAAGTTTCCTAAGCAAACCTTTATAAAAACCCGAGCCGTTTTGGTACCAAAAGTCAGCTCGGGTCTCGGGTTTTAGGCACTCGTCTGAGTACCCCAAAATCTCCAAACCTCCAAACCTCAAACCTCGAACCTCAAGCCAAACCTTTGGTTTCCCCGCAAACCGCACCTCAAAGCTTTGGTACGCCGGCGAAAAAAGTCACATGAGCCAAAATCAAAACCCGGGTAAGTGAAGGTTAGGGAAAGCCCAGCCAGGATTAATGTTGCGGCTGCCAGAATGTTGTTCTTTACATTGGCTAGGTCCCCCAGTAGTGCCCTTTTACACTTTTTTGGGGGAGGGTTGCCCTACTAAAATAGACTACAGAGAAAAGTTGGTACCCTTATTCTAAGCTCTCTACTGGAGGACCTAGTTGGTTTGGGTACGCCATTTTAATACCGATGGGTTTTGATTGTGACTCACATGGCCGACCCTGAGGTCATCGCCACCCGGCTCTCAGTGAGCCTTTTGGGCCTTCGCCTGAGCGCCTCCCTGCAGGCTTTGGGTGGGTGGGGTGGGTGGGGTGGGGTGGGGTGGGGTGGGGTGGGGTGGGGTGGGGTGGGGTGGGGTGGGGTGGGGTGGGGTGGGGTGGGGTGGGGTGGGGTGGGGTGGGGTGGGGTGGGGGGGGTGGGGTGGGGTGGGGTGGGGTGGGGTGGGGTGGGGTGGGGTGGGGTGGGTGGTGTGGGGTGGTGGGGGTGGGTGGTGGGGGTGGGTGGTGGGGGTTGGGGGTGGGTGGTGGGGTGGTGGTGGGTGGGGTGAGGTGGGTGGTGGGTGGGGTGGGTGGTGGGTGGTGGATGGGGTGGGGGGTGGGTGGTGGGGGTGGGGGGTTGGGGGGTGGGTGGGTGGTGGGGGTTGGGGGTGGGGTGGGTGGGTGGTGGGGGTGGGTGTGGTGGGTGGGTGGTGGGGGTGGGTGGTGGGGGTGGGTGGTGGGGGTGGTGGGGGGGTGGGTGGTGGGGAGTTGGTGGGGTGGTGGTGGGGTGGGTGGTGGGTGGGGTGTGGGTGGTGGGTGGGGTGGGTGGGGGTGGGGGGTTGGGGGGGGTGGGTGGTGGGGGTGGGTTGGGGGGTGGGGTGGGTGGTGGGGGTGGGTTAGGGGGTGGGGTGTGGTGGGTGGTGGGGGTGGGTTGGGGGGTGGGGTGTGGTGGGTGGTGGGGGTGGGTTGGGGGGTGGGGTGGGTGGGTGGTGGGGGTGGGTTAGGGGGTGGGGTGTGGTGGGTGGTGGGGGTGGGTGGGGGGGAGAGAATTGGATTTAAGAAATGGGGTGGGTGGTGGGGGTGGGTTAGGGGGTGGGGTGTGGTGGGTGGTGGGGGTGGGTTGGGGGGTGGGGTGTGGTGGGTGGTGGGGGTGGGTTGGGGGGTGGGGTGGGTGGTGGTGGGGGTGGGTTAGGGGGTGGGGTGTGGTGGGGGTGGGTGGTGGGGGTGGGTGGTGGTGGTGTGGGTGGTGGGGGGTGTGGGTGGTGGGGGGGTGTGGGTGGTGGGGGGTGTGGGTGGTGGGGGGTGTGGGTGGTGGGGGGGTGTGGGGGGTGTGGGTGGTGGGGGGTGCCCCCCCCTATTTTTTTTTTATCGACTTTTTTGTCGATACAATGCTCGGAAAAAAAATGTGGTTCACTCTTTTTTTTTAATTTTAAAAAGGGATTTTATAAAAATCCACTTGAAGAAGTTCCCCAACCACGCGATGCTTTTCCGCGGACACTACCCCGAAACGTCTGACCTACTCCAGCGCGATGCACGATCAACAACTTGTTGACAGGTTTGAAGCCAACAGCAACCGAGGCTGGGCTGTTCCCCGACATCGCATCTGTCGAGGTGAAAAATCGCTTGTACCCCCTGGTCACAAACTATGCGAACGCAGTTGCTGGACTCATCACGAAAATCGAGGCACTCGGTACCGGCACGACAGCACGTTTGGTGAGTGAATTTGGAGTGCACAACCGGGTGACGACAGTTCTTGGGTGTATGGATGCGATTCGCGCGAAGCGCGTACCGCCCGCGCGCCAGACGACCGCCAGGCACAGGGTGGGGGTGGTGGGGGTGGTGGGGGTGGGGGCGTGGTGGGGTGGTGGTGGGGGTGGGGGTGGTGGTGTGGGTGGTGGGGGTGTGGGTGGTGGGGGTGTGGGTGGTGGGGCTGTTGGTGGGGGTGTGGGTGGTGGGGGTGTGGGTGGTGGGGGTGTGGGTGGTGGGGGTGTGGGTGGTAGGGGTGTGGGTGGTGGGTGTGTGGGTTGAATTAAGGGTGCCCATCAGTGTGTCGCTTTTTGCACTTACTTTGATAAGAGCAAGTTTGTGAGTGCCAGATGCATCAGCGACAAAAAAAGCGCGTGTGTGTGCGAAGTCTGCTCGTTTTGACCCCTTTGAGCTTTCTTTCACTTTGCCCACGGAACAAGTTTTCAGTTTTTTTGCAGGGGATCTGAACACGGACCGTTTTTTTTTGCGGTTGTTGTGTTTCTCCAGGGTTTCAAATCCTCAGATTACCCGAAGGTTGGTTTGCATTGGCGCCCTGGCATGGGCAAATGGGAAGCTAAGCTCCAATCCAAATCACCCAAAGGGAAGCTGATTGGTTTTCGCCGAAGGCCCTGCTAAACCTCAAACCTGGACTATTTGTTTTTGTAGCCCTTTCCTTTTGGGGGGTGGTTTAAAGGGAGGTTAAATATATCTTGACAAACTGTGTGTATATGTATCTATACTATTATAGTATGTCTAACTAAATGAACACATGTGCTGATTGAACAGTACATCCTTTTTCGGGATGTTCCAGGTCAATCAAAGGAAACTCAAGACATGTTTGTCCAGCACGTTTGTTTTTAAGTCGTTTCCCAAGATTCAATCTCCAGCCGTGCGTCCGTTGTTCGCAGGTCGTGCCCCTCCCTGGCTTCCGGGCCTCTGCCGAGGGCGCGCTCTTCCACTGCATCACTTGCACGCCGAGCGGCCGCGTGCTTCTGCTCTCCGGGGCGCCCCACGTCTACGAGCTGCTCTTCGGGGACCAAAGCGGCTGGTTGCGGTCCAAGTGCCGGCTGATCCGCCACTCTCTGGGAGGCCGGGCTCTGAGACTAGGATCTCACAAGAGAACCCGCTTTGGATGGAAACCAAAAGGAAACTGGCCACAATTTGTGAGGCCCGTTTCTTTGAGAAACTGGGTGTCTCTAAAATGGTTAGTGTCCTTTTGGCTTCACTGTAAGTGCCAACGAAAAAGAGGCTTTTCCTTCTCTCCAATTTTGAGAAACAGCAACTGGACCCCTCATTCACAACTCCAAGACCTGCAATGTTTCAGCAAAGCAATTTTCGGAGGGGCGTCTTTGAGACTTTGCCAGCCTTCTCCGGCCGTTTCCTTTCTAGCGCTGGCTAATAAATTGGACCGCAATAGGAACACGCGAAAGTACGGTTTGTGTTTGAGTTGTTGGGGGATGGCAATGCTTGATAGCACAGATATGTTTGCAAAGGTATGGTGACACTAGCCTTGGTAACTGCCCAAAGGTGTGCCAGGGTTGCGTTGGTGCCAGAAACGGATTCGGGAGGTCTAGACCATTCAAGTTTGTGAATGTGGGAGGAAACCCGTTTCGGGTGGCTGTTTGGGTTTCATGGCAGAAAGTTCTGCATCCACTGTCCCTCTTTAGATCCGTGCGTGATCAAGTACGCGCGGCCTTGGCAAGAAATATATGGATGTGTTCGAGCGAATTAGGAGACATAACAAATTGAATGGTGGCCTTTTTTTAGGTTGCCTTTGAGTCAGCCTGACAAGGGGCACCGTCAAAAATATAAACGAACACAGAGACGCGAGCACACAGATACGCACACCCACACCCACCCCCACACCCCCACCCCCACCCCCACCCCGACCCCCACACCCCCACACACCCACACCCCCACACCCCCACACCCCCACGCCCCCACACCCCCCCACCCCCCACCCCCACA